CTAATGTCACGAGGGTGAATGAGTCTCCCGCAGTCTTTCCCTGCGCACAAGCAACAGTTCCACTCTCAGGACGTTTGCTTGACGCCAGCAGCGCCGCTGCCGCCATTTTGGCCAAGGCCAGGGCCGAACGTTGCAGCCGTCGATAGGGCCCCCTTCCAGTTCATTGTCTATTGAGAGCAAGGCAAATGGGCTGGCAGTTGGCGAAGAACCGGGCTAAAGATCATGCAGATGCAAGACATTGTTTGCTTGGCCAGCCGTGGTTGATTTGTTTTGCACACTGCCATGTTTTGAACTTGAAGAAACTCGTGACGAGTGCTCGCGCCAAAAACTCAGAGCAGCCTTTTGTGGTGATGGCTGCTGGGAGATTTGCATGAAGATCATGATGTTGGAGTGCCGCATCTAAGCTGCCGTGGTTGATGTGCGGTGCTGTTGTAGCATTTGGTTAGATGTCGGGTGTTGGGGCCTGAAGCTGTTAGCTCTGAAAGGCGATTGGCAAGAGCAAGCTAGGTGTTGCTTGCCGTGTGTTGCTTGTTCTGCGGTCAAGTCCGGTGAAACGGACCCCCTGTTTGGACACCTTTGCACGCAACATGTGCCGCAGACTCGCCTTTGGGCTGCCCGGATAGGTTTGCAAAACACCTCCCTAAAGAACATCAGCGCTGCCTCCTTTCAGCAACAAGACCAATAGTTTGGAACATACCGCAGGCTCTGGCCCGTACAACCTCTACGTAGTCATAGGGGCTGGATCCTGTCGGATCGGCTTGGTGAACCCCGCTAGGCCAATGGCCAGCCCGGATCTGCGGCCCACCCGTGGCAAGGCTGCACGTGGGAAACCGTGCGCAGACCTGGCCTGCAGGCCACACAGGCGATTGTTTGTTTCAAATAGCAGGAAGGATCTGAGGTTCAGGGCGTTTTCGCGGCCTCTTTGGGAAGAATAAGGATCTTTTCAAAGAGTGTAGAACACCTTGTTGAGGGGTACACGTAGGTCGCTTGTTTCTGTTGTTCTCAACAGGGGCCCAAAGGTGACTCCAAAGGCACAAAGCCAAAAAGCTTACCACTCCACTCGCCCACAATCCACATGTGCCAAGCAAAAGGCAAAAGGCCAAGGTTCGCTTCATTTCCATTTTGGATGCTTTAGATGCCCGAATGTGCGAGGATACCGCCCCAGGACCCCCCTGCCGTTTTTCAGGCCCCTTCCTAATCCCATGTTCCTGTCGAGTTTGGCCAGTGAGGGCTGCAAACGATACCATGAACAAGGCGCCATGGAACTCAAAACGATTCGCTCATGAGACGATGGCTCTTTCCCCCTATTTCCCACTCCCTTTCGTTGTCTCCTTATTTTTCTCTCCTTCTCTTTCTTTTCCGGCCTCTCTCTCTCTCTCTCTGTCGTTACTCTTTCTTTTACCCTTTCTGCCTTTCTTTCTTTCTTTCTTTCTTTCTTTCTTTCTGTATTTCTTTCTTTCTTTCTTTCTTTCTTTCTTTCTTTCTTTCTGTATTTCTTTCTTTCTTTCTTTCTTTCTGTTTTTTCTTCTTTTTTTCCTTGTTCTGTTTGTCTTTGTTTCCTTCTTTCCTTCTTGCCTTCTTTCCTTCTTGCCTTCTTTCCTTCTTTGTTTCTTTCCTTCCTTTCTTCCTTGCGTATTTCCTTTCGTAACTCCTTCCTTCCCTGTCTTTCTTATCTTTCTCTCCCTTTCTTTCTCTCCCTTGCTTTCTCTCCCTATCTTTCTCTCCCTTTCTTTTCTCCTTGTCGCTTTCTCTCCTTCTCTTTCTCTCGCCTTTTCTCTCGTCCTCTTTCTCTCCCCCTGTGTTTCTGCTCCTGTTTGTCCCCTTCTCGTTCTCCCTTCTTTCTCTGTGTCTCTTTCTCTTCCTCCCGCTCTGTTCTTCCCTCCCTCTGTCTCCCTATTTGCCCCCCCCCCCCTCCTCCCCCCCCTCTTTGAACCGTTTCCTGTTTCTTGTTTCTCTCCCTCTCTCTCCCTCTCTCTCTCCCTCTCCCTCGGTCTCCCTCTATCTCCCTCTCCCTCTGTCTCTCTCTCTCTCCCTCTGCCTCTGTCTCCCTCTCTCTCCCTCTCTCTGCCTCTCTCTCCCTCTCTCTCTCTCTACCTTTCTCTGTTTCTCTCTTCCTCTCCCGCTCCTTCTTCCTCTCTCCCTCTCACTCCCTCTCCCTCTCTCTTTTTGTCTATCTCTTTGTCTCTCGCTCTTTCTCTTTATCTTACTCTTTCTGCTTTCTTTCTTTCAATCGTTGTCTTTCTCTTTCTTGCTCTTTCGTTATCTCTATCTCTTCCTCGTCATTTGTCTCTTTCTTTCTCTTTTTATTCCTCATTCTGTCCGACATTTTCCACTCTCTCTTTGTCTTTCTCTCTGTTTCTTTCTTTCTCTCTTGGGGGCTTTGCAATCATGACTTCCCTCGCCCGTTGCAACGAAGCCGAGGTGTCATTCAGACACCGCACCTTGGAAGAGTTAGCCACAGCCCCCCCCCCCTCTGGGGCCTTTTGATAGCCCAAGGGAGCCGAAGCTGGGCGTGTTAACCTAAGAGTTCCCCTACCCCCCCCCCCCCCCCTAGTGCCAATTCATTGGGGATGGTCCGAACCCAAGCTGGTGAGGGGGCAACTTGGCAACTTGTTGCCATCCCTTGTGTTTTTCCATGCCGCTTCCATGGCATGAGGTTTTCACTGATGCCATGTCAATGTGAACAAGGGGTGATGTCAAAATGTGGGAACATCCAAGGATTGCATTTGTCTTCGTTCGTTTTCGTTTGGTTGTTTCCACGCACAGGGCATGTGGCTTTTTTGCAGGCATTTTATCGACACCCCCTCCAACATGTGTTACAAGGCTAGTTGGCTTGAACATGCATCTTGGCCCACCATGGTATTCCTCTATGCCGCATGTTGGAGCTGACATGCCGGGACCAGTCGTTGGCAAACACTGCGAGGCAACCAGGCTGGAAGGTGGCACGGCCCCCACACGCACAACGGTTCGATCCTTTGCGACCCCGTGCGGTCATAAATCTGGGCGGTCACCTGGGGATGATTTCAAGCGCATGTAAAGGTCCCTTAGCTGGAACCCCTGGCTCAACTTCCTGCAGACGCACAATCGTATGTAGGCCGACTGAGGGAAGCAAAGGTGGAATAAAAGGGCATTCAATCACAAATCATGAGGGCTTTGGCTGGCATGTGGAGGATCAAGCTAACTTGTTGGAACAAAGCAGTGTAGACGCCATGTTGAAGTAAGAGTGCCTCAGGCAGAAGCAAGCAGCATGTTGCCTGTAGCTGCTTAGTGACCAACTTTTCTGCATGCCACATTCCACAGGCAATAAGCACTTGTCTACAACCCGAGAAGGCTGCCCATGTTGGATCCCTTTGGGTAGAGGCATTTGTCCAAAGTACAATGACATCCGCAAAGCAAGCCGCCAAACCTGCTGAAGTGGCATTGCGAACTAGTGACTTGCGGGCAGCTCATCCAAGCCAAAGGGGTCCTTATGCTAAGTCTTTGCCTTCCATGGCAAGGGTTGCAACTTAGGGTTGCACTTGCCAGAGCAGCTGAGTCGCACTTCTGGGTCAAAGCTAGGGCGCCGCCTTTCCATGCTTTCCCACACATAGGGGCCCATGCTTGCCCCAGTGCCTGAACCCACCAGTCAGGTTGGGCCCACCAGTTGCCCGGAGGTCGACTTTTCCAGCTTAAGGAAACTTCGGCGAGACAATCCCAGGACTCCTGCCTGCCGTTTCTCGCCTCGGCGCCGGGGCGAAGGCGTGGCATTTCTCGGCTGAGGCTGTTGACTCCAGGCGATCCGATTTGCTTGGGAGGCCATCAACCTCGTAGTATCGGGATGTTGTACATTGCAAGCTTGCAAGGATAGTTTTTATTTCAGGTAGCTACAAAACCCATGACCGACAGGACAGAATGGCGCATGGAGGTTTGTCGAGATACGTGGGCCGACAGTTGGGAGCTGTGGCCACCTGTGGCCAACCGGTTGGGCTTGTCCTTCATGACCCAGGTCACATCAAGCTGGTACTTCAGGGTGGTACAGCGATATGTGGCGCACCGTGCCGCCCACCTTTAGAGGCTTAGGGTTTGGGCTTGGAGTCCGGCTGTGCTTGCAGCTGGTAGGCTAGTGCTCTCTTTCTGACGGTGTGGTCAATCCGCTGCAGCGCAGTGTCTCCGCACATGTTTCGTGAGTTGATTGACTCGAAGTGCATCTTACTTGCAAGCTTGCCTATCTTAGGCTAGTGTTGACAACATAAAGGCCCGGTAAACGCGAAGATGTTGTTTTGTGTATCCCAGTTGATTTCCGTGGAGCATCCTCCAACCAATTTTTGGCTCGCGGCACCGGTGGAGGTGCGGTGCATGTGCAGAGCTACTTTCTTCACAAGGCGGGTGGCACAATGGCGTTTTCCGTCTTTTCGTCGCAACCCCCCCCCCCCCCCCCCAAATCCAAATTTGGGCGGGTCTCTGAGAATGGTCAGCCGTGTGTTTGAGGGTAACTACCCTGGTTGGTTTAATAGGAGACTGGAAAACACCGCAATTTTGGTGGGGCCCCCTATTTCGAGACGGAGCCACTTTCCCGTTTCTTTTTCAGAGTTGCCACCCCGGGCAACTCATTCTCGCCTGCCCAGAGTGGAAGCTACGCAGCTCCAGCCTACAGCAGCTACACTGCAGCTCCGGGGCGATGAGGCCGGGGAGCCATCCACGTTGCCATGGAAACTGACTCGAGAAAAGGGGGGGGTGATCAATTCCATAGTGGCCAGCAGGGTAACTCGTTGCATGTTTGTATGTTTGCCGAAGGGGGGTGGGGCATTGAATTATGTTCCTTGTTGTTTCGTCGGGGGGAGGGAGGCTTTTGCATGTCTGACGGGCTGGTTTGGGTGGAGGCTGCAACAGAAAGATGGCTGAATCAACTTCGGCCTGGTTGGTAATTGGTATGGCGGGTCGTGGAGCGTTTGGTGAATGTGCAAGTTGCACTGTGGCAAACATGCTGCAAATCTGTGCTTAAACGGTCAGTGTTGGGCTACCGGACGTGCACGCGTGCCAAGCACTTGGAGTTTACAGTGCATTCATTGAAGCCCATTGTGGCCGAGGCGCTCCCACTGCTTTTTCTACGGGGCCAAGCCAAAACGCTATCTTTTTTTCATGGTCAATCTGGTCAGCAATGGCCTTTTGCCCAATGAGGTGTGGTAGAATCTGTGGGTGAGATGGCCTGTACCCGTTCATGACAGGTCCTACCCAAAGTTGACCCAGGATGAACAACCTTTGGTTGATTAATGGGGGGTGGTCCCATTTCACTGGGGATCCCTCAATGTTGGCAGCAGGCCACCGCGGCGGGCTGCATACAGCTGACCGTTTTGGCGCACCCATCGACCCGGACGAATCCAGAAATCGATACGTTCTCTGCCTTTTTTTCTGGCGCTCAGGGTTGCTCCGAGCCTTCAGATCAAGAACCCCAGGGAACATTGATTCGAAATTGGTTTGGTTTCCTTGAGTTCGCTTCCAGAGCAAACCTGCTGGCACGGCATTTGATTTTTCTGCCACGCCAGACGCAGATGTAAAGTGTTTAAGGCCTAAGGCCGACACTTCAGCTGACCAAAGGCCAGCGACTTTAGTATGCGGAGGATACGCGAGCAATGGGATCCCGGGATTTAGACACCACCCACCTCATGCCAAAGGCCTTGTATATGCACCCCTTGTTTTTGGGTGAATTGGCAGTTAGCCGTGGCCCCATCATACTTAAGCATTGGAACCCAGTCATTTCTTCGGGGGACACTGGCATGCGCTCATCGATTTTAAACATCAGAGCTCGACATGACCAAAGCCAGAGTTGATCAGCCTGGGGCGCCCTTTGCTCGAAGTCTTGCACAGAGTATGCAAGTGTATTTGGCTGCTGGCGCACCGCTTGTCGCGCCAAACACGTTGGCAACGGCTTCAAAGCCAATGGTTGGGCCTTGGCAATTTCTTCGTGACTGGTGGGGCGTGCAGCGTGTCACTTGACGCGGGGATTCTCTACTGTTCACTGCGTTGCCAGTTCAGCTCAGGCTGCCGGACATAGTTCCAAGACATCGGAAGTCAGTAGAATTTGGTAGATAGCAATTCTGACACATGCCCAAGTTTGTCTGTCAGCCGATTTTCTTAGAAATTCAGCTCTGTGAGCTCAGGCTCACTCCAAGTGCGGCGCCCAAAGCGGGGCGGGCGCAAGAGCAGTTTTTCTGAGCGCGATGGAGGGCTCAAATCTAACCCGATTCACAAACATTCAACAGCACAAATGCGTCACTCCCATGATTCAACCCCGGGGTCTACTCAGCTTGGGTTGCATGACTGTCACCTTCAGCTTCGACCGGAGGACCATATTTGGGAATTTAAGTCATGTACGGGGGGGGGGGTTGCTGAGTAGTGGTTGCCAGCAAAATCTGAAAAAGACGGAAGGGGTTGAGGGAAGGTGGCAATGGTTGTCAGTATTGCGTGTTCTCACACAACGTTTATATCTTTGCTTTTTTCCCTCACTTATGAGGTCAAGGGTTCCCCAGGCCTCTCATGAGGGCCTTTCACTGCACTTTTGTTCGACCAGTGTAGTACCTGACAAGAACAGTGAGACCGTGGCAGTTTCAGTGGTCTTCTCGGGTCCTCAAGGGGAGCGCTCCCCGATTCCTCGCACTCCGTCGCGCTCGTCTCGAAGAAGAAGCCGCGCAGATCAGCCGATTTGCCGATTGGGGCGATTTGACGGGGAGAAAGCGACACAAAAACCTGGGAGGCCGACTTCGAATCCAAGCTGCTGAACTGTTTGGAAGGGATGCTGGGAAGACTACTTGAAAAGGGGCTCCAACAAGTTCAAAGGTTTACTTTCAACGGACTCGAGGGGGTTGCGCCTAATTGGCCTGCTAGTGAACTGGACCCGCTGAATATGCCAACAAACGCGTTGAGGTTCTGCGCCTTGCACCTTCCAAGCCTTCCAAGCCTTCCAAGCCCCCGAGCACGTGGGCAAGTAGCAACGGGCCTTCGCAGTTGTGGCTGAGATGGAGCTTGCGGCAAGAACCAACCCCGCCAATCTGGCTCAGCACTCGGAGACGCGCTGCGCGCACCGAGCAATGTCCGCCATGTATTCACAATCGGACGCTCAGATGCACATGGAGGTCATGTGGAAACTTGAAACCGGAGTCCATCAAACCTTGTGGTACAACCAGTTGTTGCAAAATGGCCCCGACTATGCATACATATGTGATTCTCAAAGCACGGCAATCTAGTGCACGTGTTTGTGCCATGAGTAGTGCCATGTGATTGTGCTAAGCTGGCATGGAGCACGTGCACGTGCAACAGTGGCTCATACAAGTGCCATATTTGATTCTTCTTAAGTTGCGCCAAGTTGATTGTCACTGGAGCCTCGTAGGGTAGCATGATGATGATGATGATGATGATGATGATGATGATGATGATGATGATAATGATGGTGGTGATGATGGTGATGACGATGACGATGACGATGACGATGACGATGACGATGATGATGATGGGTGAGGAGGGGGAGGAGAGGACGAGGAGGGGCATTGGCAGAGCAATGAAATGCAATCAGATCTGGCTCAAACAAAGGAGCGCTGCTTAGGCGGTTGGATGATGCGTGCGCAAGTCCAAAAGAATCCAAAAAGACACGCCCACCATGCGTCCCACCCAGCTTTGTTTGCACCGTCTCATTGTGCCTAGCATCGCCTCCATCATCACCGCCCTAGTCGTAGTGGTTGCTTTCAATTAACCAGTCTAGAGGGAGCCTAGAGGGAGCTGCAACTTAACAGACAACAGGTCGCCGCACTCCAAGTGATAGTGACAACCCGTTTGCATGTGCCACTTCTCCAAAATGCCTGCTTGTGCTCCATCTTGCTGTGACGGTGTTTGGCAGAAGCTTTAGCCACCAAAGGCGCCGGACACAACATGAGGTACCGCCAAGGCATGAGCGGACAAACACTTTGGAAGTTCAGGCAGGTTCAGGTGTCTGAAAGGATTTGGCATTTGCCACTCTGGTGAGAGCAAGCAAGAAGGCAGTGCAAGCAATAAGCCAAGGCGGCAAAGAAGCAAATCAAGGAAACCTAACCAGCTTTGCTTGCGTACCTCACACTGACAGTGTCATCAAATGTGATTTCAGCAAGAGAGCAACGGCCTGCCACCAAACCAAAGCAAGCGACCCGAAAGCCCCCAAAGCCTTGGTTGACCCGAGCGCGGCTTAGGAGTCTACTGCCAGTGTGGAGTCCGGGGAGGAGGGCTGCTTGCAGGCACGGGAGCCTTGGGAATGGAAGGAAACTACCTGAGGGAGCAGGGCGCTGGGCATTCCAAAGGCCGTCCTGGGTTGCATTGAGATCCGGAAGAGGGGGCACCACTGGAGGGGATCTCGATCCGAATCCGCCAGTTGGTTAATGTTGGGTCAACATAGGGCAGGCTTTTGGCAGTGGTTCGTGGCAGATGGGGAGTGGGCGACATCTTGGTGTAAGATAGCAGGTCGAACAGTCTCAGAATACTGCCAGCATATTGCTGGCACATGTTTTTTTCATAGGAATTCGTGGGAGTAGTGCATGCCAATCTTGGCGAGGCGTATTTGTCGAGCTACTCAATGAACAGCAGGGCGGCATTTGCAGTCTAAAAGAATCTCCTTCCGTGGCGTCAGCAGTCTGGGAGTGGGAGGAAGCATCGGGTCTTGTCATAATTCGAAGCCTTCAGCTTGGGACTGAGGGCGTAGGGTGCTTGCTGATGCATTTCGCCTATTTAAGATGCATTTTACACATCAAGCTAACCATAGTGTTTGGGTAACATTGGGTCTGCTTTAATCTCCCCCCCCCCAAAAAAAAAGAGAGAAAAGGAACGTGCCAAGAGTCCAGCGGGGCCTCTTGAGTGGGCAATTCGGTGGGTTCGGCTTCAACTTGCGAATGCACAATTTATTGTTGCCAATTCTACATTTAGTATTGCCAAGTATAACTCTCAGATTTCCAGTGCTTAACTTAGTCTGGCCAATTCAAAGTTGAGCATTGCCAAGACTTGCCCTTCAGATTCCCAGTGCCTAGTTTAGTATTGCCAATTCTTTGTCTAGTATTGCTAAGACCTTGACCTTTCGCTAAAGGTTTGATCTGGGAGTTTGCCGATTAAAGCGAATCACAAAGCAGTCAGACTAAACAGAATCAGAGAATCAGGACCTCTTGTGGACAACCCCTTTGTGCGACCTTATGGTCAAGTGGTATTGAATTTGATGGTGTGGAGACCACTTCAACCCAGGAATTGCTAATGTGTGCCTGGATTGTGTTTGCCCGATTTGTTTTCGCCCGGATTCTTTTCTGGCAAACCAGTTTGCCATTAAAGCGAACCTTGAAGAATTTGCTGGAGTCAGAAATAAGAAAGGATACGAAGCCGGGGTTTAAAGCGGTCACAACACTAACAGGACCTCCTTTCAGCCCCGCCAGGCGCTGCTCGACAAAGAGCGGCAGCTTTCAGCCGAGAAGGACGTACCAAGCCAAGAGAGGCTTGATATCCTTCAAGGGGTCAGCTCATGAACCTTTCAAGGGGTCAGCTCATCAACCTTTTCACCGGTCAGATGACTACACTGAGCAACCCTTGGAGGGTCTTCTTGAGGATGCTTTTGACAGGGTTTTTCACTTGGATGCACCCCGCTCAAGCCTGGTGGAACCATCCGGCTGCTTTGTGTCGAGATGAAGGGGCGCCTCAAGGCGATGAGTTTTCAGAGGGTTCCCTTGACAAATGTGGGAGTGGCCCAAGGAACAGCATGCCATACAACAGCGGCTGATAACATGTTGTATCCTTGAACATGTTCATAAGATCTGAGTCTGTGCCTAACACTATTGCCCCATCCGATTTCCCTTGGGTTTTGGTGCCATTTGTTTCCAAACGCCCATGTGCGTATGTGCCAATGGCTTTTAGACAGGTGGTGACCAATTTTTGCATGTGCTGCAAAGAGCAAACAACCACCGACAAGCAATAAGCTAACACTCACAGCAAACAACAAACTGCAAGCAACAAACAAATACCACAACAGAACAAACCATCCAGCCAAAACTAGCCATGAACACCCCCCAACAACAACCCCCCCATCTGTCCGGCCTGAGGTGCGCATCCGACATCTCGAGCTGCGTGTGAAGGCTCTTGCCCTTTGGCGCAATAGGGGACTTGGGCTCTGGAGGGGCGCTTGGGAAACACGGGAACCCTTTTTGTGGATGGGATTTTTATGGGACTGTCTCAAAATGGGTTGAGCCCTTATTCAGATTCTTTGCACATTTTTGGAGGGCCCTAGAGGAAAACGCTCTCACCCGTGACAGCCTGGGGAAGGATACCATTGTTTTCTGAAGTCGCAACCTGTTAAGTTAAGGCCCTTAGCCCTCAACTCCAGGACATGTCCTTATGATGCCCTCGCTGGTTTGGTGTCTTCACAACTCGGATTATATGAGGGATGCTGACGTTCATAAAGTGTTTTTTTTGTTCTGCTTCATTGCTTGAATGCTGGGTTGTGCTGGCGAGATAGGTTTTGTTTGATTCGTTCACACTGTGGCTGCCACTCAGCGCGGCAGCATGTGGCTTGCATCGTTTGCCGGCAGCCAAGGAGTCGGAATTGGAGAAGTCGCAGCGCAAGTCGGTGGTCAAGGACACCTGAACTGGGAACGCAGAACCCAGGCATGCTCGGGGGAGCAGTATCTATCCACAAGCAGGCTGGCTCTTGTGATCTTCTTGGATAGCGACCAACCTCGTATGGAACGGCCTTGTGCTTGGATATGTTGGGATGCTTGAGTTTGTTGCAAATGTTGCCTGCGTTGTTCCAAATCAATCCTGACCTTTCAATCATTACCCCGAAGGCTGGCCTCGAAATGGCTTTGCTTGAGGTTTGTACCTGACTTAGTAGGGTCCACTGGTTCATTTTGCACATGTCTCACATTTTCGGGGGCGTGGCAGGGGGGTTCGTGGAGTGGTTTCCCACCTGTTGTATTTCGACGTTCCCGGGCTGGTTTGCCACCTGACGTTTGCCCTCTCAAGTGCCAGATGGAAGTGGTTTTCCTGGTTGCAGTGGGTTTCAACTATGAGGATTGTGGATTAGGTTGGGAGTCTCCCAGGTTGCTACTTCACCAGGTTTGACATGCAAACAGCGCTAAGCCCTATCGCCTTGCAGGAGCGCGATGGGAATGTTGATGGGCCCTCAGCGCAGCTGGGGCGGGGGGCGGGAACTTTCGCAAGCTTATGCACAAAGCTTCCAACCGCAGGCGCTCTTTTGCAGCAGGCCTTCTATTCTTGTTTGCGGCTGGCTCACCTTCCCAGCCACGAAGCAAACGGATGCTTCTGGAGAACAACTCTCCAACAACACTCACGCCAAAATCAACATGCAACCCCAACAGCCCATCAGTCTCGTGAATCTGCACCAATTTTGTCCGATTTCCCCGTCCGCAATCCCGAGATTTCGCCGATGTCCTCCGAATTCTGCGGAAACCATCTGTTTCCCAGGCGTTTTTGTCATGCCAAAAAGTGGGACAGCACATTTGCCGCCACCTGTTTGCCAGGCATCGTTTTTCGCCAAGTGGGCTCCAGGCCCACCCAGCCCGCGCCAGCTCAGTCCCCAGCCCAGACGCGCCGCGTCCGCGTTGTTTCCTCGAGGCGAAGGCGCAGCAGGAGCTTCTGCAGGAGCTCCAGAAGCGGAAGGCCGTGCAATACGAGCCCGGGGCCTCGGGATGCCTCGGAGCGGGGAGTGGTCTTTATTTTTCGTCGTCTTCCCCTGTCCATTTTTTTTTGGCGAGGTCTGCTTGGCTGCTATTGGGTTGGATCTTTAGACGTTAGCTGTTTGGGAAAGCAGGGGGGTTTCCACTAAAGCCCCAAAAAGTTGAACTTTTTGCAGGGGTCAACAGCAACCAAGTCTGGGAAGGTACCTCTGCTGGGCTTGTTGGAAAACGGAAATCCCCTGGAGAAATCCAAGAACGATTCTCTTTTTTTTTTTTGGGGGGGGGGGCGCTCCAAATCTTGAGACACCTCTACGGTCATCCTTTGACTTTGCCAACCCCTCCATCGGGTGCCATTTGCTGTTCGGGAGGCTGATCAGCAGCGGGCAGCAGCTCTGCGAGTTGCAGGAGAAGATCTACCAGCAGGAGATGGGGGAGGGTCCTGCTCAGAGCCTTCCTTTTCTTTTGGACTTTACTGGGGCCAGCAAGGGTCCATGTCCTATTTTTCAGGCATTTTTCGGGAAGGCATGTCAAGAGGAAAGAGGCTTCGTTGCATTGCCCCTGGCAGGAGAAGCAGCTCCAACAGATGGGTCTCGGCTCAAGCCTGAGATTCAGATGGCCAGTTCTGGCGTAGTCCTTGTTCTGAAGCATTTGCATGAAGAGTGGACATTCCAGGAAGACAGAGGTGCGATCCTTCGAACATGTTTTTTGCTTTGTTTTTTTGGTTGTTGTTTTCCATTTTTAATTAAAGGCAACAAGACACAATTGAGATTCTGTGAGCATGTCCTCCATTGTCGAGAGCCAATAGGGCTCGAGACAAGGGGCGGAACCCTGAGTTTTTCAACCACACAGACTGTCCACGTCCAGTGAGGAAGCCGCATATTTCGATTGCCTGGCTCATCTGGGACCAACAAGAATCCACATGGATATTGTTGGAAGAACCTTCGTTTCATCTTTGCCAGAAAGAGGTGCAGAGAAGAATGACCAGTGCACTGCTAGGAGCGGTCTTCTCAAATGCCTGTGCCTGTGGTCGATTACACAGGTGGCCCTCGAAGCTATTTTTCTCACTGGGCATTGCATACAGGGCCGCACTTTGTATGGGTCAAGGTTGCATTGAGGTTTCTCCGAGAAGGGGTGGGAGTCAGCTACTAGATTTTGGAAGGCCACAAGAGTTGGCTCATGACCCAATCCCTTTGAAACTCGGGCAGATCAGATTAAACCACCCACTCAGCAACGTTGGGGATGGGAGTAGGCGCGTACCCAATGCTGAGGCTGGGGAGGCCGTGGGAAGCAAATCACTTCTTTGTTATAAAAGGCGGACCCCTCAAGTTCCTCCAATTCTAGAGCCACCCAAGCCCGTTGTAAGTTGAAGAGCAAGTCGAGAACATCACAATCAGGGGAGACGTGCGCTTGAAATGGATTTAAATTTCTTTTGTCTGTTGGTGTTGCTGTTCAGGCCCTAAAGGCTGGGCCGTCCCGCTCCAGCAACAAGGATGCAGACCCAGCTCAACATTTTCTCAAACAACTAAAGCATGGTCAACCAAGTCTGAAACCCAGCCAGAGCCAGCGGCTGAACATTGGTTACCGGCATGTTGTTGTCCTTTTGCACATCCCAAATTACGAGTCTTCTTGCTTCGGTGCCAAGAGGGACGGGCTGCCTCCGAGCCGTTCAGGTAGCGTCGCGCCTTCGGTCCATAGGCGCCTTGGCAAGCGGCAGACATACTAAGTCTAATCCCGGGCGAATACATACACAAGCACAAAAACCAGGGTCGTGAGTTTTTTTTTTGGGGAGGCCCTTTCCTTGCGGTTGCAGAAATGCCAAGGGTGCCCCTGAATGCTCCTGATTTTGAGACAAGGCCACACGGAACCTAAGAGTGAGAAGGTCGCTTTTGCAGCAAGCTTTGCCTTCTCGGGCGACCTCATTCAGCTTTTGCGGTTATGCGCGTGATGAGCAAGTGTTTAGCTTGGCAGGGAGGGGGAGGCCCCCCTCATTGCATCATGGGCCATGGGTGCATTCCTAGCTTGGTTGCCGGGTTTGTGTGGCGATCTCATCTCTTCTTCTTTGGGGCCACCTCCGCGGCCTCAAGGAATGGCGTTCAATGGGGCTTGTGGGTCAACGGTGGGTTCGTCCCCATGCTTGAAGAGGTTGGCGCCTCTGAAATCAAGCGGAATCCCAACATACATCCGAAATAAACCTGTAACCAGGAGGGTTCTCAGGAGGGTTTGTCATGGTTGGTTCGACTCCATCTAACACACTGAAGCAATACTACATGCGTGAAACATAGCGACCTGAAATGGCTTGTGACTCAAGTTATGACCAAGGGCCTAGACTCGAATCAAACAACTGCTTTAGGGAGGGCAGTGAGAATGGCCATTCGGCTGTCCACCCACCGGCGGTTCAGGTTGGATGCCTTCCGAAATTCCATGTGGTAGAATTTTCTCAAGCCTGGGCGCTCACTCCACAACTCTTTCAGCCATCCTTTCCAATGACCCTTGTCTCTTTGTCCCTTAGGTTCTTTCATGCCAGAACCGTTGGGTCAGGCACATTAAGAAACCCCCGCAACTAAGAAAGGCAAGAAGCTTTCCGGAAACTGCAGGGCATTCGCCTCGACGTAAGGTCGCCGGTGCTCTCGCGCAGATCGCCGCCTGGCGCAATACCTTTGCAAGTTGTGTGGCTGTACTGCCCTTACGCCTACCTTCAGAATGTGCACACCCGGGGGTTCCATTTGTGGTGCCAATTTCCTTTTTTTCTTGTGGCACGACAGCTTTCCCCTCCCTGAAGCTAGGGGGGCCATGGACAGGGTCTTGCGTGTTGTTTGGTAGATGGGGGCACGTTGCTTTTTGAAACTGGTTGCAAGTTGTAGGTTGTAGGGGCCAGGCGGACGCTGCATGTTGCTGTTCAACTGTTGTCTTTGTGTGTCCTCAAGTAACGCTGAACATGAGATGGCCGAAGAATCCATGGTCCTGGTGGCGGAAAGAAACAGCGCACAGGACAAATGGAATGCCGGATGAAATGAGGAATCGGACTATGGGCCAGGCAACGGCTGGCAACATTTCGGCGAAACCATTGTGTTTACAAGCGGCATGGCCAGTGCAATCACGCATCACCAATGGGTGTGGTGGTTGGGGATACCCTGTTGGGGCTGTGTGTTCATGGGGTGAGGACCACCCGAGATTCCCCCTAAGACCATTCGATATGCTGCGTATCATCTCGTGTTGTAAGTGGCATATATCTGAGTTGCTCGAAGCCGATTTCCTACTGGGCAACACCCTCAAAGATGGATGGGCATGGACCCCCCTGTAAATTCCCGGGTGCATAATGCCCTGCCCACTAGAGGTTCCCAGCGAAAGTCACTCCCCACATGGCTCTGCAGGGTGAGCGAGGGCGAGAATCAGCTGGAGAAGGCGCCGGGGACAGCGGGACATGCCCATTCGATAGCCCCAAGCTCCACGCAGCGCTGATCCGGCTTGTTCATGGTTTCGATCAAGGTTTCCTATCTTACTGTACCCCTTTGCTGGATTGAAATATCGCTTCCGGCGCCCATGTCGATGGGCCTGATGAGCCTTGCTCCATCCATGGAAGGCGTGTGGTTAAATGGGCGAGTTTCTGGCCACCTTCTAGACGGTGCCCAGTTTTTCCCGGAATAGTGCACCGCTCAGGGGTTGAGGCTGCTACCAGTTTGCCGTTCTGCCTCGAAACGGGGAACCGTGCTACATGCTAGCACTCAAAAGCAATGAAGGAAAGCACCTTCAAGCTGGCACTCTGAGTCTAGACCCTTGCAAGCCAGCACGGTTCGGCTACCCCGGGCTGCTTGAAACACGCAGGCCAAGCAGGATGCTAGTTACAATTACATTCCTGAAGAAACTTGCTTGCCTTAAAGGCTATTCTGTTGTTCATGCTTGTGCACGTGTACCCGTGGAAGGATTCAGGTCCAGTGCATGAAAGCAGGTGAAGGGGGACACGAGTACAGGTTCGGAGCCTTGAAGCCGAAAGGGGCGAAGAGTCTTCACACCTGAGGTGCCTAAGGCGAACGTCCCATGGGGTTTGTCCCATCCTGTGGCTCGAGATCCTAAACCGAGCTTTCTGGACATTGTTCTAACGCATGATTTGGCCATTTGAAACGCATGAGCAAAAACCGAGCTCAGGTTTTGCAGGGGTTTGTCCTTGGACTTTTGGATTCTGGGCTTGGGGTGCCAGTGGTTGCTCTGTCATCATGCCTGAACATGGCTTGCCATGCACCAACGCGGAGCGCCTTTGACCTTCGACAATTCGAGGGCCAGAGGCGAAGCCACACCCCACTTTGATCAACCATACTGTGGATGGACGAATTGCAATCGTGGGACACCGGTGTTTGTTGGTATTCACAGGGGCATCATTATTCCAGGGTTTCTTAGGTGGTGCGAAATGGATTTCCATTAAGCTGTAAATGGCTGTCCATTAAACGTCCCAAGGGGCCATGACTTCACATGTCACCCTGAGCAGCGGGTGCCCTTGCCGATCTTCAGGCGCAGTTGCCCCAGAACTTCAGCAGGCGGGACTGATCGACTGATCCGAAGCCGCCCCACCTTGCGAAGCCGTGACGGAATGCCTCAAATCCGTAAAGGCATGGGGTGCACATGGCAGACCCCTTTTGGAGACGGCTGGCGCAGAAAGTTGATTTGAAGTGCCGTTGGCAGCTGCTTGCTTCGGGAGATGTAAAAGGTCAACAACTTCGGCTAGTCCCTCGTAAGTGGCGGTGAAAGTGACTTTGGCAGCAGTTTGCCAAATTAAGTCCCATGTCCAAGATGTTGTTCAGTTTTGGGTTGACTGCGGCAGCATGCCGTGGATTTGGCAGATGTTCCTTGGAGTTGGACCATGTTGGGCCAGATGTGCATGGTATCCTCTAAGCTGTTGGCTGCCTAGGTTTGGGTGGATTGTCCACCAATACCATCACAAGATGATTCAGCAGGGGGGTGTTCCCAGAACGGCGCCGGAGTGACGCAGATAACCTGGCCCCAGTTGACAAGGACTATGCAATACTCAGTTTGTCAGCGCGTTACGTTACATGACTTGTAAGTAAGGGGGCTCGGGCCATTCGCTTCCTTGTTTGAACGCACCTGAGATTTGCCATGCTGTTCCAGTCTGGGGCGTTAGGGTAAAGTTAGGTTAGGCACGTGAGCCCCTTTGCCCATAGACGATCTTCACAAGTACTGTTGTCTCAAACTCTCGCCTTTAGGCTAGGGGTGCTCCTCAACCCTATCTGAAAGGAATCATGCCCACCCCCATCTCAGCTTTTCTGAAGGATGTAAGTATGTTTACCGCGTGCACTGGAAGGTTTGAAGATGCCAGGTTGGCTCTTGTTTGCCACCTTCCTTTGCGGTGCAAGGAAAGGGTCTCCTTGGAAAGAACGGGCCTTGGCTTCTTCCCATCGTTCAAGCCGAGACCTCTGGAGTTGTCGGCGCTGAGCCACTGTACCCGTGGACATGCCATGACAAGCCTTTGGGCCTGACCAGTCGCCGCATATGTCAATGTGTGCTGCTTGCCGCTTTCGCCTGAGCGACTGGGGATGCAACATGTAGGCGGCTGTGATGATACGTTGGGATCTTTGACCCGTCTAGTATCTAAAGAAGGGCGCGCACAGGTGGATAGTCTGCGAGTAGGATGACCAACTTTGACCATGATACAGGTTGCTTTCAAGGGATGTCAAGCCGTTTCAGGCTGCTGGATAGTTAGCCGCTTGATATCCCCGGATGCTTGACCAAACACTGGGGCCGCGGGCGTGCCAGGCAGATGTCGGACAATGTGACAAGTGTGAGCTCACCGCAGGCCATTGGCTGACGACCTTCCTGAAGATCATGGCACAAGCGTATTCCTTCCCTTTTGCAAGCCAGGCGTGTAGTTCATCTAGGTTTAGTTGTTGACCACCTTGGCTCAGTCAGGAGGGTCCGAGGAATGCCGGCCTGTGCACGCGGTGGATGGTCGGGCTTTGAATGCAGTGACTAATGACAGTATGGCCCACAACACTTTATGGTCCATGCGCTCCACCAAAGACACATTTTGCGGTCAATGTGAAGATGGCAAACATCGGTCACGGCAATTTTGAAGGTTAGGTTTGATAGTCGCTCAGGTTCTGCAGTATAATGCAGCAGGGAAGCCAGGAGCGCACCAGGATGCAAGCTGGATCAAGACATGGACCACCTCATTCAGAATTCCCCGCATTCGCAAAACATGTTTCATCATGACTTGCAGGGGGTCCAGAGCGCGCAAGTCAATCGCAATGTGAAGGTTGGCCTTGGGTTGACAAGCCGTAACTCTTTGATGTTCACCCTCTAGTCCACTCACATGGAATCGGACAGTCCGATTTTGACAATGGGAAGACCGATTCTGAAAGTTTCCCCCCCTGATGCTATTGCTGTCAGTTTGTCCAATCAGATCATACGTTGGATTCATGACCTCTTCTCGCTGACGTGCAAACCACGACATATCAAAAAGCATGCAACTTTCAGCCTTGCAATGTTCAATGGTCCTGGTTTGCATGCATTGCTAGATTGGTTCCCCAGCCTTCTCCCATCCTCTCCACCAAGGGAGGATTGACACTCCACACCCCACCCCGGCTTTCCACGCAATGGAAGGGGCAGGCATACGCCGCACTTCCCAACCTGGCGGGCTATGTGTGCATCAGCCTGGCAGGCGAGCACGTGCGAGGGCAGCCCCGGACGCAGTGGGAGCAGCTTTGGCCGGGGCCCCTAATGGGCGACTGGACCGGCGAAATCCTCCAAGATGGCCTTAGGATTGCGGATTTGGCAGAGTTGGTTAATCCTGCGTGGAAGCTTCTGCCAATTTTTTCGCTTGCAAAAGATCTGAGGGGGAGTTCCTGGCTCCTCGTCAAAGCGGAGCCTCAGTGGCGTGTCCCCAGTTTTTGAGGGCATGGGGCCCTCTAGAGGACAACCTTGAGCATTCATTGCCATGGGCCCAAGCGGCAGGAGGAACCGCGTGACAGGCAGAAGGGAGTTCGTGATAGTGATCCTACTTAATGGTAAAGTTTTGACATTGTCTGGTATTAATGGCGAAGAGGTTTATGGTGATAATGAAATGATTGAAGTGCCAAATGGTAAATTAAGAGTTAATAATTTGGACGATATTACATTTATTCCAGTTACTGATTACTTCGGTTTTGCGTTTTTTTCTTTCGAAATGCAAAATGCAGTAGGTATTTGTGATACAGGTTTACAAACTATTAATGGCATGTCAATTGTTCTAAGCAACTAGTCCACCGACTGCGATTGGGACCAGATTCACCTGGTGAAACTGCCTAGGCAGGCTGTGGGAGGGCCGAGTGGGTAATAGAAACCTCTGGCTGTTTCACTGCTGACTTGCACGGGCCCTCCCAAGCATGGACTTGTACAAGCTGACCCCAAGCTTTGGTTCCCCAAGCATTGTTGACCTCATTCGACTGATTAAGCTCGCAGCTCCGGGTCCAGATTGACTCAGCCAGGGCGAGGGAGGAAGGTACACGCCAAGTAGATTCACAGAATGGGGTCTCACTGGATCGGATGCTCCACCCGGCCACGTTTCAGTATTGGAAGAAAAACATTACGGATTGTGCTCATCCCCTTTCAACCAGATTTTACAACCATATGTTTCGGGGTCGCAAAGTTATGTTTCAAATGAATATCGTCCGTGACTTTGCGTCGAGCAGCCAACCAGCCAGCCACCCACCCAGCCAACCAACTGGCCACCCAACTGCACAACCACGCCGCAGGCCATGTGCGTGTCACTAAGGCTTTGGCAGCCCAGTTCCACCGTCCGACAGGCGGAGGGGGCAATCTTGTTCTTTGCTTCCCGCCCCCTGCTTTTCCTGTGTAACAAGTTTTTCACTCAGATTGTTCCTGGCCTTTGCTGGGTATGTGGTACGGGCTGCCTTTGTTCTGCTGGAGCCCGTGGCCAATTGGCGCCCTGTTTCACACGGGGATGTGGCAATGTCAACTGCCTTTTTGCAGAGGCGTTCAGGACAGCATGGAACGATTGGAGCAAGGGGGGAAGGGGGAGAATCATCAGTTTCCATGTTGAAGCCGCAATTAAAACTGCGCGGGATGGTTGCGTTTCCCCACTAGAAATTGGGAAGCTGAGGGGTGTTACAGTCATGCATTTCAGGGACGCGGCACGGGGTGCGGTGTGACAAAGTGTTCGCCAGCTTCCGGTGGGGCCGCGCGATACCAAAGAGGACTGAGCTAAAGCAGATTAAAGCAGGCTAAATATGGCTGTGCGGAAAGATGGTCCAATGATGTCATCGTCTGTCGGCTTTCAATAGTTGATAGCAATGATGGCATCAACCAGCCAAGTTCAAAGCCCCCCCTGCTTGCACTGTTACTAGTTCCTGGGAGGCCCAATTCATAAAGAGCTCAAGTGCATGTTCGGAGCTCAAGCACGTTTGCTGCCAAAACGAGGCAAATAATTGTGAAGATGCCTTGGCCGGAAATTTGCCCCTCGTTTCAAAAACTGCGCCGCACATCCGCGCAACCGAGCCCAATTTAATCAACTTTGCACATTCTAGTTCTTACACTAGCGCCAAGTTGGCTCCCACAAACGTTTCAAGTGATTTGTTGCGAGACGGATTCAGGCACAAACTTCTGCATCAATTGGGCCTCCGGGTTTAGATCTGGTGAAGCTCCCATTCCAGAGCCAAGATGACTCCTGTGCAAATGACATGTCAGCTTTAGGGACGGTACTTTGCGGCAGCTTTCATGATGGCGTTCACTGGAAGCCAACGAACCGATACGGTAGGTTCTCTCAAGCGGGGCACGAAAGTTTACAACTGCGGGGTGCTGTTTGCTGGATCATGCCAGCATACCGGGTGCTTCAGTTGGGCACCAAATTGACCTGGCCAGATGCCCGCCCTCACACAAACAGAAGCAACACAGCACACAGCACACAGCACACAGCACACAGCACACAGCACACAGCACACAGCACACCACACACCACACACCACACACAACACACAACACACAGCACACAACACACAACACACAACACACAACACACAACACACAACACACAACACACAATACACACACACACAACACAACACAACACAACACAACACAACACAACACAACACAACACAACACAACACAACACAACACAACACAACACAACACAACACAACACACAACACACAACACACAACACACACACACAACACACAACACACAACACACAACACACAACACACAACACACACACACAACACACACACACAACACACAACACACAACACACAACACACAACACACAACACACAACACACAACACACAACACACACACACAACAACAACACACAACACACAACACACAACACACAACACACAACACACAACACACAACACACAACACACACACACACACACAACACACACACACACAACACACAACACACACACACACACACAACACACAACACACAACACACAACACACAACACACACACACACACACAACACACACACACAACACACAACACACAACACACAACACACAACACACACACACACACACACACACAACACACAACACACAACACACAACACACAACACACAACACACAACACACAACACACACAACACACAACACACAACACACAACACACAACACACAACACACAACACACAACACAGACACACACAACACAGACACACACACAACACAGACACACACACACACAACACAGACACACACACACACACACAGACACACACAGACACACACAGACACACACACACAACACACACCACACACCACACAACACACAACACACAACACACAACACACAACACAACACACAACACACAACAACACAACACACAACACACAACACACAACACAACACACAACACAACACACAACACACAACACACAACACACAACACAGAGACACAGAGACACAGAGACACAGAGACACACACAGACACACACAGACACAGACACACACAGACACACACAGACACACACCAAAACACACACCAAAACACACACCAAAACACACACCAAAACACACACACCAAAACACACACCAAAACACACACACACACACACACACACACACACACCAAAACACACACCAAAACACACCAAAACACACACCAAAACACAAACCAAAACACAAACCAAAACACACACACACACACCAAGACACACACACACACACACACCAACACACGCACACACACACACACCGAGAGGAGCTCATAGTTGTCCAATTCAGCTGCTGCTGATTCCCAACCCGACCCGAGCCGCTTGCCTTGTCGCTTGTCAGGCCTCTGACTAAGGACCTGGGCTGACAGGGGGATGCGCCCAGCTGAGGGCCCAACTTTCGATAGTAAAGGTCTTTTTCACCGAACAGGGACGATCCCAAGTGATAGAATCAACCATAGTCAGCCAAAGAGCTAGGGAGTCATTCATCTGGATTGCCTTGGCTGTTTACATTGCGGCGGTTCTTCGGTGGGAACACTCAATTGCTTGGGCCTTTTGTCCATGAATAGGTGATGCTCTCAGCTCAGCCATCAGCGCTTACCTGGCAGGAAGTGCCAGCGTCAAAGAAAGTCGGAGCTTCCCCGTCTGTGTCAAGTGTTTTTGTGCCCACTGGGTCCCGTATCCTCGGTACCCAGCTACCTTCCTTTTGGTCGTAACAAAGGTTATCCTTGGCTGCCTGCCAGGCAGATCCATCGGGGCATGCATGTTGTTTTGCAGATGCCCGGTCCCTGCACATCAGCAGGAGGCCAACGCCAACGCCCGCGCCCGCAATGACAGGCTCGAGAATGACAGCCGCTGGCCGGTTGCCCTGAGGTCCTGTCCTTTATTTGTTGAAACCCCTGCTTGCTTCACAACCTACCTTTCCCGCAAGTGTCAGATGAAAGCCTCTTTGGCTACGCTATCTCGCATTCACTTGCTGGCAAGGCTGTGAAATGAGGTCTCTTGAACTTGCCGCTGGCGCAGCCAATTGAAATTTTGCGGACGCAGCGCACCGGGTAGTAACCAACACCAGGAGATCAAGAAGGGGGAACACCTGCCCAAATCGGAAGAGGTTATTCGGGGGAGGTGCCTCAAGTCCCATGATTGTTTTCGTTGCTTAGATTTCTTTTGCCACGTGAGACAATGCCATTCGTAACAGCCGTCTGGCATCGGATCAAAGCCGTATTCGGCCTTGGTGGAGCAAATTGAGTCAGGTGTGCAGCGATTTTTTTGGGGGGGTTGACCAGGTCAAGTCAGCTTCGGTGCTATTCCATGTCAAGGAGCAGCATCAATTGGCCTCTTGAAGCAGTCGACTTGCGTTGCCCAGAGACCTGCCAGCAAGGTCCCAAACAGAATAACTGCCTTGTGTTGCAAATGGGCGAACTAGCCAAGCAATAGATTGGCCTTGGTCTTGGCACTTTGGCCATTTGATTTGACCTGCCTTTGCATTGAAAAGTGTTTGGCTTGGATAGCCTTGGGGTTTGCAGTTTGGCTGTGGGGTATGGAATGGCCATTTCACATCGGCCTGCGCAGGGCCAACGCAAGTCGGACTCTCAGAGGGGGATGGCAAGGGGCGCCTGTGCGAGCCCTTGCCACTGGTTGTGCACGCACATGCCACTTGAATTTATACTTGAAATTTCACATGCACACATGCATATGCACATGCAAAACAGTACAGATGCCGAATTCCCATGTATAATGTACGCACACCTGGTTATGCATGAACAAACGCATTCACATGCGTTTGTAAAGGCATACAGACATATTATGTTTGTTTGTGTGTACTCATGCATGCGCGCCCACATACATACGCACACATGCACACATGTAAGTATATGTCATTACATATATGTTACATATAGATATATGTATATGTAGAGCAGGGAGAGGTGTTTATACATCTATATGTATATGTATAGTCCGGCTATTGCCAGGTTTTAGACCAACACAATTGTATAATTTATTTGCCTAGTTAGCAATTTACTGTTTTAGTTGGTTGCTCAGCTCTGAATTTGATTTGTGTTTATTAATTCATCCAGGTGTTAATTCATGTATTCCTTATACCATTTATTTGGTTATGAAATTGCATTCATGTATTTGTTTAGTTATTCACATACTTATTTGTTCATTCATAATTGCATGTGTTTGTTGAATTATCTTTCCGTGTATTTTACTTGTCCTGAGTGTATTGCTATATTAATTGTTTAGTTGTTTGCATGGTTCAAACAACAACCGGTGTATATCTATGTGCTCGTGCGTTTTGCAATTTGCACACTGCGTACGGCACCCAGCCTGTTGATGCACCTGTTTGCCCTCATATTCAAAGGGTTTAAAGGGTGTTAACCTGACTTGGTTGCCTTGACGAAGGCACAGCTACACAAGAGTCTTTGCGGCCTTTTGCCTGAAGGAAACGTTGCAACCGCCGCCCGGGGACAGTGAAGCTTGCGACAGGAAAGGCATTTTGAGCAAGCCAGCGGGTAGCAGCAGGGTTTGTTTAAGGATGCCAAGATATGAGCAACGCAGGCCTTTGAGCATTCCTGGTTTTGAGCAGCTACCGTTGCAGTTATTAGTTTTGACTTTGTTACACGCAGAGCCTTGTGAGTGTCTTGAACTATCCCTTAGTTGCTTCCCTGTGAGAAAGCGCTAGTATTGGATAGTAAAGCCGCGCGCCACCCAGGCCCACCTGGCAACTTTTCGCGGCTCCTTTGGACCATACCAAGTAGTTTGCTTGCTTTCAGTGGACGCCAGACATGAAATCCAGATCGATGAAATGCGCGAGGTTCCCGGCACCCACTTACACCCGTGCCTCCGCGAAATGTCCGGCCCCAGGTGAAATGCTGTCAGTGTGCCGACGGTTGCCTGGCTGCAAACTCTGGTCGCCTGGTGATTGGCAAGGTTGCCACTTCTCAATGCTTGGAAGTGCAGGGGGGAGCTTTGCGCATTTGTCCAAGGATGCCTTTCTCAGGATTCCTTTTTCCACGTGGTGTTGCTTGCCTACTGGAGCTTTCTATTCCGAGACCTGCTAGGTATGCTCGGTGCCGGCTCCAAACATGCAGCAATTGTCAGTAGAGCACGCCCCAATGAAGCAACGGGCAGCCTGCTCCCGGAAGACCTCGACGCAACATGCGTGTCTTCCATCGTGGTCTTTCCGCCTGCGATTTCTGTCTTTGGGTTTTGTGCTAGCTGCCATGTCGGGGCTCGGGCGTTTTAAATCCCTGGCCGGGGGTGGCCCTGGGTTCTCAAACATCCGAACGACAGCTTTTTTGAGAGGGGTCTAGCAGGTTGCCAGAGACAGCCGACCACCGCACCAACAGCACCCAGCGAGTCTTGGACACTCCTCAATTTTAGAGTCTGATGCTGCCTGCGTCTCAGAATCTGCTGTGGCGCTCGAGCCAAGGATGTCCGTGTCCGCCACGCAGCCGGGTTTGCGCATGATGGTGACACATGGAGGGCACGGCTTGTTTATCGTCGGATTGGCCGGGCAGATGTGAAGCTCCATATTTTTTGGGAAAAGCGCTGGTTGAAACTTATGTGGCAGAGGCACTTCCAAGTCAAACGGCAACTTGAGTGCTGTTATTGTTTCCCTGTGCTGGGGTTGCAAAGGGGAACCAAGTGGAAGCTACGCGTTTTATGGGATTCCTCCATTTGGAGACATGCCCATGAGTATATAAACATGTGTATATATATATATATGTATATATGGGCGAGTCCTTGCCTGGCTTTCATGAGAACATCAAGCAGGGCATAAGACCAGGCAGTTGGAAACGTCCATCAAGAGCGGAGCATTGGGATTTTGACGTCACCAACCTAGGAGCACCTCCCCCCGGGAAAAAAAAAAAAAAAAACACAAAAAACACCACATGAACATCCAAATAAAACGGTGGACAGAATCAAGCCCCCGGTGCAAATCGCGCTCGCCACGGCCGTGCGGGCATACCGGGGTAAGACGAAGGATTTGTTCCTTTGGTTTCGGGAGCTCACGCTGGGTCTGGTGGCTGGATGGCTCAAAACCTGAATGCGGATGGGTCAGGTGCCTCAATAGCGCCCTCTTGTCTAGGACAAGCCCGTTTTGGTAGGCCCCAATCAAAGAAAGGATTGGTTACACTATGCTACACTTTGTTTGGGACATGACGTGCTTGGAGTGTATCTTGACAGTGCCGAACCCTCAAGGGTCCTTATCCCTTTCGCACGACCGCATCGCTGCAGGGTCAGCCACTGTGCCAGTGCGGGCCCCCAAGGCACGGGGAAATGCGGCTGCTTTCTACTGACTGCGGCCCAGGAACTGGATTGAACCTTCTATAAAGCTCGGCACACTGCAACCAGGGTCCCTGCCTTGTAACATACAGGAGTGCCACTGCAGGTTGCCTTGATAATTTTGCAAGCCGCCTGAAGCGGAGTCAAGTGCGCCGGTGCAGGGTGATGCGTTCGATGTGTGTGTATAGGGAACCCTTCAGCTGTGTAATGTGGATGTTTGAATTTTATATCCTACCAAAGGGTTTTCGGATTTATGAGGAAGAAGGAGTGGTTAGTTGGTGGGTTGTTTGCCGCCGTCTCCCATCCAAACTTTCCGCTCTTTGCCTGGACCTTGAAGTCAAAAGATCCGCGTACCTTGGGTACCAATACGACATAGATATACGACTCTGAGGGAAGCCCAAATACAAATACGACAAAACCGGTATGCATTTTTGAAGGCAGCTTGGCCTTTGGCCTCCCTGGGGTAGCACGGGTCAAGAACACCCGCAACTCTTGCCATGAGTTGCCTTTGGGCAGATACTTGCACAATGAGTTTGCTTCATGTGCTTGGATAATATTTTGTTCAATACTCCGGGCTGGAAGAAGGTCATGGACCAGCACTTCCAGGCAGGCTAGGTGAGTATCGAGCAGGCAGCCCTTGAAACTGCAAACTGTAACAACCGCATGCCCAACATGCAATGTGCCTTTGCATCAGAAACAATGTCAAGTGCAAGCGCAGGTGCAGCACTTTCGAGGGGACTCCCTGTTGGCTTTCGCATGCCCGTGCCCGCCGCATGCCTTGCCGTCAGGCCGCGCCGGCCACGCAGGGTGCGCCGGCCACGGGCACGCAGGGCATACAGGGCGTGCAGACACGCAGCTACAGCGGCTACCGTGCTGCGTCGCCTTTGCAGCAGTGACTGGAAATCTTACGGAAACGCGAAAAGCGTTTCGGATTGCGAATCGGTTTTTCAACGGAAACGTTGGAGGCAAGGGCGCCTACAGAGCAGGATCTGGCAATCTTCTGGAGGAACCCTCCCGCACGAATCTCCTCACGAACGTAGTGGTGCTGTCGTGGCTTATCGGAGGGCAACTCCAGATGCTTTCCCTTCGCAACAGCTTTGGATGTTTCATTCTGAAGTGGGGTTGCAACTTGGCGTCTAGTCAAGCGCGCGGTGGCCTTTGCTGGCTGTATTATGCTATGTTTGGCGTTTCTCTTTGCCCTGCCAGATCTTGCGATTCAATTTGGCCTCCGAAGTTTCCGAAGTTTCTTCTCGAGGTGTTGTGCTGGCACGCAGGCCAAACATGTCCAGAAAGGGGAAGATGACTGCAAGAGCTCTGCCTAAAACTGATTGAAAGGCTCACTTTTTCATCCAGCTTCGCATACGTTATGGCGGCCGCGGCCGGAAGCGAGCATTACCTTACTTAAAACTTTTCATTCTTCCAGCCTGCCTGGAGCTGAGGTCTTGTTATATGTGTTTCAGATTTCAACTTGACCCCAGGCAGCCTGAATTGCCTTGTGCACTGCACACTTGCTGGGAAATGGTTTTCCAGCCGTTGTCAATGCCCCCTGAGAGATACGCAATGCATTTGGCATGCAACGGGTATGCACTTCTTCCTTGGGCGAAATGCTCGTACAGCAGTCGGGTCTGTTTCAAAGTTGGGCCGGTCGGTTTCCTTTCAGTTGGCCTTTTAAACCATCCACAAGGCGGACGCCAAGACCCGCCGTGCCAGCCGCGCCGAGAATAGGCGACCCCGCCCAGCCTTGGAGGTTGTGGCGCGCGAGACTCCAGTTAGATTTTGCCTATCGGCTACGTGGAGGCCGCGTTGAGCAGGGAACGCGGCCAGGACTTCTCCAGTTTGTGGCTCGTTCTTGCGTGAAACGACCCGCATGGGGCTTCCGGAGTTAAAGAATCGCAAGCAGGCTTGTGTTGCGCCTGGTAGCTTTCTGGACAATTGCAAAGCTGACCAATGCATCACAACCAGGTCGGCGGGACCTGGCCTTTCGGGCGTTTCGGGGAGTGCTGATTGGTGAAGCCAACGCAGGCTTCCACAAGGCCCATTTCGCATAGTTGCTAACTTTCCCTTTTTTAACCTGGCCAGGTGCAGCCAGCTGATGTGCGGGCGGGCGCGCAGGGTGGGCGAGGTGCGTGCTCGAACATCGGCCACAGAATTGTTTTTCATTTTTCTTGCGGGGCTGGGGGTGGATGATGGCAGTCCAGGGCCATTAGGGTTTGCAAAAGCCAGGTGTGGTTGCAACTGTTGCTCTTACCAAGCCCTCATGCTAGCAGCTGACATCTTGGCGCTGCCTGCATGCATTGCAACGGTTGGTCCAGGACTTTGGATGCCTTGAACAAGATTTCCTATCATGTTTCATTTGGGTGATGGTTCATGTGTGGCGGAAGGACGTTTGGGAGCTCGTTGGCTGAATGGTGACCGCAACTTTGGAGCACCAGCCCGATTCTCCAGACACGCCCCGAGCACGAAGATGTCCCAAGCCGGGACCTTCGCAGCTGTCCGGCCAGCGGGGCGACCACTTTTTCATGCGGCATCATGCCGCAGGTCGCGCGCGGGAAATCTGATTGCACACGGGGACGGGTCCAGGAAAGCAGAGATCGTTCACGCCTCTGTTCTGCGCAGCTTTGCAAGCGGGATGCTCATCTTAAAGTTCATGAAGCACAGCCCTACTTGCGAGCAATGACCTGGTTGAGCTTTCCTGGTTTTGCGGGGGTTCACGCTAGTTCCCGGCATGGCATCTGCCATGCAATTAGCCGCTCGGTCCATGAAACGAATCCCAGACATCGCCAGCTGATCCCCGCAGAAAGGATCAGCTCACGCCACGTACCCGGCACCGCGTGACCTACCCCGGCCGGGCGGAATATGGCTTCAGAGCACCCAGAATCTGCACACTGTGTTTTCACCCTGTAGCATTCCATATTAATAGCCAGACCACTGATATATGGGGCAAACCCATATTCTCATACTTGTTGGGAAAACAACATAACTTTGACCCATCCGCGTTGTGCGTGACTAAGCCAGCCCTGCAGCGCACTCTCAGGGCAATCGCACTCTTGTCGTTTTGAACTTTGCTTTTGCCCCGGAGGTCGGTTTGAAGGAATCGCTGGAGAGTGCTTTGAAGTGGCGCTTCGCACGACAGGGCCTAGCCTGCGGCACGTCAATAGATGCGCCTTGGGTATCGCAGCATGCCCTGTCCCGTGACAGCAAGCGGTGCAACGGAAAACACAGGTGGACGTGATGTCACCGAGCACCCATGCCCTAGCAGGCCAGTTCTGAAAGCCGCTGGAAGACTTAAGAATCCTTCAAGCTTCTACCCTACTTGCTCTCACTACTCCGACCACCTTTGCCATGAATGGGATCATTTGGCGACGATTCTCAATGTTCATTTGGCAATGGCCCTGGTGGTTTGACCAGGAGTCGGATGCGGCATTCCAACAACTGGCATTGGACCAGTCTCGCTGGGCATTTGGAGCTGCCACACTGCAAGGCAAGTCACGGAAATTGTCCTCCTCTGCCAGATGGGCTTGTGCTTCTTGAGGGTACCAGTTTTCAGGTTGGATGATAGGGACGCAAGACGGACAACGCTTTTGGGGGTATATTTTGACACCAGCCTGGATCCGCTTTCAGGAGGTGTTCTCCCGGTGCATGTTGCGCCATTGCTCTTCGAAGTCTTCAAAGCACCCTTTCAAGAGGCAGTTGTTACAAGATGCGTCACAAATTTGTGCTTGATCATGGCCGCACCTGGAAACCATAGATGTGACCACATTTGAGTGTTAAATCCAACATCAATGGCACCCCCTTCCAAGCACGAGTCTCAGAAGCTGGAAGCTTTTTTTTGCAGTTTCTTCCAAAGGTCCGTTTGGGACACATCGCGGCGCCAGGTTGACTTTTTGCAGGGATTTTGCGAGCCATGGCTGCCATGTTCCTTCTAGAAGCCAGCCCTTGCTGTCTCGTTTGTAGAGGGCCCCTCAGGGCTGAACCCACGTCATTGCTGGCTGTTCAAGTAATCGTCTAGATCCCCCAGTAGTACCCTTTTACCAACTTTTTTGGGGGAGGGTCCCCCTACTAAAATAGACTACAGAGAAAAGGGCAGCCTTATTCTAACCTCTCTACTGGAGGACCTAGTCATGCTAGTGACAGAGCTTTGGGAACCTTCAAGAACCGGTCGCAGAAGCCGTGCCATGGCTGCTCCGTGCGCCCCTTCATGCCTTGAGTCCACGGGGTGGGGACTGAGCCCCAAAGCTGGGGCCTGCTGATCTCCAAGAGGCAAATCGATGTGCAGCAAATTAACATGCTCGAAGTGCGACCTATGTTGCGGCGTCAGCTACAGGCCCAAAGCCGTGTAAGGGAAAAGAGCCTCAGAGGGTTCGCAGCATTGACTTAGCCTCGGAGATCATGCGCAAAAGAGAGTTCAGGAGGTTTGTTCATTGCGATGGGGCAATTTCGAAATGTAAGCTCAGGCTGCCATTAGGTGCTTCAAGGTCTAGTTTCTCTGCTTCTGCTTGCTGGAGTCTCTTGTTTTTCATCAGATCCTACCTTGCAAGGCCTCCCAACGGGAGAAGTTTCCACCAACAGCCCGCTTTGCCAACACAAGTGGACCGCGGGTGGAAGTATGCCTTCTTGGCATCCGAAATGGCCTTATGAAGATGCGCCATGATGTTTACACAGGACTCGGTCCACCTTGAGCACACCCAGTAAAGATGAGCCTGATCAAAGGCCATTTTGCACGAATCAAGGGACACTTAAGTCGGAGATCGCGAGGTGTTGCCCCGCCCTGATATTTTAACTCTCATTGCTTAGGGATCTCCAAAGGGTGGAGAGCTTTCGGTGACAAAAAGGCCGCCTGCGGCAGGCGCGGGAATTGATGGTTCGCGATGAATGAGCTTTCTGGCAACCTGACGCGCCAAGCGCGCCGGGCAGCAAATTGACATACAAGTAGCACCCACCACAGATCTCAGGTAGGAGTAGAAATGGTCCTTTCCTGTTCCACCTTTCATGCCTGAGGGTCAAGACGCTGGTGAGTTGTATCTTACCAATACAGCGCAGTGCACGGGCCCTTTGTGGAAGACTTTCTCTCCTTTTGGAAAGGGATCCGATGCTCCTTGCCATGTTTGTTGAGCTGACTGACACCTAAACGTTGAGAAGAGTGACCAACGTTCTACTTGGTTCTCAGCCCGAATGAGGGAATGACCCTACAAACCATTTCCTATGGTTTCCTTGAAGGGAGTCCCCTTCCAGGGATGGGCAGAGTGATTTTGCTTGACCTTGCAGAGGCAGCAACAGCACATGGAGGCCTACCTGTTTCAAGACTCTTGCCCACTCAAATTGCGGCGAATTTGCCGAACAGAGTCCAGTGACGAAGTGGCGACTGGCCGTCCCGGAGGGGTTCGGCTGCGTCTTCGAACAGCCTGGGGTTTGTCACTGTTGGAACATCCGGCAATGCTGTTATTATGGGAAACATATAGCGAGCTCACTGCGGGAAACCGTTGAGGATTCTTCTCTACAGTCTGCATTGGATCATGGGAAATGGGGTTCCGAAGCCTCAAGTGAAGTGAAGCATGGCCCAATGCTCCACGCGTGTCCTGGCTCGTGGCGAAGTGTGCACCTGATACACATGATGCCGCCCCAAATTTTGCTTGGAGCATCAGCTGATATCAGCTGCTTCCAGTAAGGGGTTGATCAGTATCAATAGTTGCTCTGTTTGGCTCTCAAGAGGTGCAGTAACATCCTGAAGCTAAGACACAACCCGTATTCGAGGGGTAGCGGCATCGTTTTCAAAATCAGGGGCCCTGTCTTTCACTGCTTGACTTCTTAACCATATCCTGGTGCATGCACCCGGTAGGCAGGTCCTTTCAACATATGTCATCTATGCAGTAGCTGCTCACCAGACTGTGGTTTCAAGCGGAAGGCCAGGCCGACCGTTTTCGTTGTGTGGTTGTAGGTTTGTGTGTGTTCTGTGTTTGCGCCCTTGTGTGTGTGTGTGTGTGTGTTTGTGCGTGCGGTTGTGTGTTAGTGTGTTTCTACGTTTGTGCGGTTGTGTGTGTGTGTGTGTGTGTGTGTGTGTGTGTGTGTGTGTGTCTGTGTGTGTGTGTGTGCGTTTGTGTGTTCGTGTGGTTGTGTGGCTGTGTGCTTGTGTGCTTGTGTGTTTGTCTGTTTGTGTGTTTGTGTGTGTGGGTGCGTGATTCTGTGTTTGTGCGGTTGTGTGGTTGTGTTTTGTGTGGTTGTGTGCTTGTGTGGTTGTATGTTTGTTTGTGTGTGTTGTTGTTTGTGGTTGTGTGTTTGTGTGTTTGTGTGTTTGTGTGTTTGTGTGTGTGGGTGCGTGTTTCTGTGTTTGTGTGGTTTTGTGGTTTTTTGTGGTTGTGTGGTTCTGTGTTTCTGTGTGTTTGTGCTTGTTCGTGTGTTTGTGAGGGTGCGTGTGTTTGTGTGGGTGCGTGTTTGTGTGTTTGTGTGTTTGTGTGGTTGTTTGTGTGTGTGTGTGTGCTTGTGTGCTTGTGTGCTTGTGTGCTTGTGTTGTTTGTGTGTGTGGTTGTGTGGTTGTGTAAGAGTGTGGCTGTGTGTTTGTGTGTTTGTTGTGTGGTTGCGTGAGTGTGTGTGTGTGTGTGTGTCTGTGTGTGCGTGTGTTTTAGTGTGTTTGTTTGTTTGTGCGCTTGTTTGTTTGTGTGGTTGTGTATTTGTGTATTTGTGTATTTGTGTGGTTCTGCGTGTGCGTGTGCTTGTGTGTTTGTGAGTGTGCGTGTGTTTGTGTGGGTGCCTGAATGTGTGTTTGTGTGTTTGTGTGGTTCCATTTCCCAGCCCAGGACAACAACCGGGGTGCCCGTTTCAGGCAACTCATCAGAAGACAAGTACAGTTAGAACACTGTGTTGACTTCAGTTGGCTTGAGCAACTTCCAAAGGCCGAACCTGAGAGCGTCAGGCAATGCTGCCGGCATTCTCGCCGGAGAGCGAGAGGGGAGGCTACCTGGAGCCTTGGCGCGTTCTCCTTTCAAAAGAAGCAAATGAACAAGAGGCCTTTCAGACAGGCCGAACGTTCTTTTGTCAACAGCGACAGCTGGAAGGGTGAAGGGTTTGAGGCCGAGAAGAACTCAGGTGAGACGGGCTTACGCATGCCTTGTCAACAAGTTGTTCCTTTGGAACGAGTGACCCTTGGGAATCAGGCTATGCTTTCTTGTCGGGCCTCTCAGGATTGTCAGGAAGACCTGGTTTTCATAAGTTTCTTTCATGGCCAGCTGTGCAAGCGCCTCATGTGAAGACCAAAGAGCAGGGCGAACCTTGTGCACGGCACACTCATGCAACTAGATGCTTGTTTATTGTCTTGGTGTTGCGATTGTTTTTTGCGAGAGCTTTCTTTCAGATCCGAGCAGGCTGATCCCAATTTATCTTGAGCTTGAATTGTGATGTTGAGATCCGCAGAATGGGAGAGCAAGTGAGCCCCCTACCCTGCCAATGAGACAGGAGTTGTTGCTGGCTTACCTTGTGTTCCAGCAGGCTAGTGTAAGAAGAAGCCCCGATTTGAGCAGCAGAGCCCCAACTGCTCATTTTCATTGGGTTTCCGTGATGGGCGCTCTTAACTCAGACATAATCTCCAAGGCTTGTGCATGCGCACGGGTTCAGAGAGCCGAGGATGTCGAGCCAGGGCCGGACAGACCGAAGACGAGCCACTTCTCTACAACGCTTCAGCCCTGGATCCTCGGCAGTCAGAAGCCGTTCTTTACCTAAGCTCTCTCCAGAGGTAAACTACGGGCCTTCCTCTCAGAAGACGCAGTAGCAAGAGTGCATTTGGTTTGATTCGCTTGATTTGCATGGCGCCTGTGGGTTTGCGCTACCTGAACGCACGGTGTGTCCTTGATGGGGGGCTGCGCCTGCAATTTCACTTGGACGCAGACGATGGAGTTCCTTGAGAACCCCAAGCAGTTGGTCCATGTGTACGTTACACTTGCTTATTTTCCTTATTAAGGAGATGCGTCGTGTTTAGTGTTTGCCCATGTACATGTTAGATGTTGTTTGGCCGTGAAAGTCGAGGCTCACATGATCGATCTAGTTTCACCCTCACCGGGCATCACTGTTCCTACAAGCTGTGCCACATGTTTCATAGAGTCTGCGACTTCGCGTAGTGCGGGATGAAGCTGGCCGTCAGCTGCTACAACTGCCCCGCAATCGCAGATGAAAGATCCGATTGCTTTGGTGCATGCTGTGGGTTCTGCAGGGGCACGAGCAGGTCAATCAGGCTGCAACGCGTGGCAAACACCGAACAAGCCCCCTTCTGTAGCGTTCTTTCCTTTCCACATGGGTTTGTGTCAAAAAGTGGAATGGATGGAGGGGCCACAGGATAGGACGGAAGTATTCCAACAAGACAAGGCCAGTTTCGCGGGAATTGAACCAGCTTTAGTCAAAACCTTGGCTGACTAGTTAATTCGTTAACTTGACCTCGCACACGCGTGCGCTTGAAGAGGCAGGCGCAGGAAAAAGCCACAAGTGAGCTTGGGAAGCGTCCCACCCAATACCTGCTTGGTTCTTTGGAGCAATCCTACTCCGCCGACTTTATTCGAACGGCTTCACTTGACCGCTATTGGGTTGGATCTTTAGACTTTAACTTTTTGGGAAATCAAGGGGTTTTCCACTAAACCCGCAAAAGGTTAAACTTGTTGCAGGGGGGTCAACAGCAACCAAGTTCATCCGGCCACTTTTGGCCACCCCATGCGCAGCGCCTTTTGTGCGAGGCGCACCTTCTTCGTCGCTCGCTTGCCGGAGAGCAGCGAGGAGGCCAAGAGCCGGGCCAAGAGGAACCTGCTCCATTTCCAGGCGAGCGATTTGGGGATGGCTGCTTTGCTTTCAGCATCTTTTGCATCTTCTTATCATGGAGCCCTAAGGGGGGCTATGGGAGAAGGGTAGCCCCCCGTAGGTTTTTGTAGGGGTGCATGAGTGTACGCAGTGATAAGCAGCTGAGGGTTTCCAATGCCCGCAGGCAGTGTGGCCCCATGCGGCCCACAGTTGGATCTTTGTTGTTGAAACCGTGTGGCCCACCGAGGGGTCCACACTTCCTTTGATGCACAATTTCTGCGCTTTGCCGCATGGTTTAATTTTCGCAACTTTTGAGACAACTTTGCCCATTTGAAACGTGGCTTTTTCCACCAAAATAAAGGGACACCGCCATTTACAAGGCGATGCTCAGGTGTATAATGTAAGGATCCCTGTTACTTTTCAGGACGTGTCTTTAGGGAGTGTTGTTTTGAAGATGGGCCACTTCTGCTTGCCAAGTTCGAGGTGGGTTTTTGCGTTGGGCAGGGCCGCGTCTGTGGTGTGGCTTTGCGGTTTCGGGGATTTTCCAGGCTTGCGTTGCGCTCGTTGTGTGTGATTCAGTGCGAAAATGCGCGTTGCTGAGTTTTGTGCATTTTGGATAGATGGCTCGTGATTTGTCAAATGGCCAACGTTATGGGTGGCAGCCCGGAAACAAGTGCAACACTGCTTGCTGCACACGACTTGCCGCTTTGCAATAACTTTACGGGGCAAGAAACAGAAGGGACAGCTGGGTTGCAGCGTGGTGCCTTTGTGACTGCGTGGCAACATCGCGTGGCTGTGATTCGGAAATGAAACACGCGCCTTGGAGAAGCAAGCTGAAAGTGAGGCGCCTTTTTGCTGTTGGCGGCGTTTTTAGTTACGTGGCAGCGCTTTTTCAAAATCAAGCCTTCTGCGCAACATCGGTAGCAGGAAATCGGCGGAATTCGGCGAGAAATCGCCGGACTGTGGCAGAAGCAGGTTTCAGCATGTCGGAGTGTTAGTTGCGTTTCGGCGTTTTTTCTCGCTGGCGGCCTTTTTATACATTGTCGGCGGACATTTCTGCCTCCGGGGCCTTTCGCAGAAAGTTCTGCCGCCGCAAAGTCCAGGTATATACATACATATGGTGCATTTTAGAGCACGCCCACTCGGCGCTCTCACTCGTGAGAACCGGGGCTGTCCTAGAATTTGAAAACAATTGAGTCAAAGCCTCAGTCAACTCACATTGATCCGGCCATTTTTTGAACAAGCCGTGGCAAAAAGAAAGGGACACTATGAGAAAGGAAAATGTTGCTCAACAATGCAGATCTAAGTCCTTCGGGATTGAGCTCAAAAAGGCTGTTTGGCTGTTGCCGGTTGCAAAGCTGAAGCATCAGCGGCTCCAGCGCGCCCGCGCAATTACAACAGAGGCTTGTCTTGTTCGCAACGCCACAATAGTTCCAGTTCGCGTGGAAGGTGGCGCGGATCAGTAGGGCGGGGCGTTCCCTTTCAGGACTTTATAAAGGGGCGCCCCAAAAGTGAAATCCCCCATTTTGGGATTCCTCATTTCGAGACCAGCGGGTGAACCCAGAAAGTGAATCACCGGGTGAACCTAGCGAAGCGCCGGGTGAACCTAGACCCCAGACATTGAACTGAACCCAGAAAGCGGACCACCGTTGAACCTAAAAAGTGAACCACCAGGGCGTGTGTCTTTTCAGGCCAACTACTTGGTGGTCACCGCAGTGGTGCTGGCAACGCTGCAGCTGAACAATCCGCAGCTTGGCCCAATTGGCAATTAGGCAACTAGTATTCAAAGGTCAAGGTACTTCGTACAGTGTTGGTAACCATAATATTTGCGTCCCATTTGCCCATACTTACTGCTTGCCAGGTACCCTGCTCCATCAAGCAAGTCTTTGAGTCATCGGCTCATTCAGTTTTGGCCGGTCGTTAAGTGCAATTTTCGGTACTGGTTTAGCCCGGCATTGTGCCATTATTTCATGATGTTGCCTTCTAGCAAGCGTGTTTGCCTGAGTTCTGTGTGCCAGCCAGCCTATCGTCTTCAAAAACCCCGCTAAGGGATCGACCCATTTTACGGAGGGCTTACTCTCAAGCGTTGGGAGCCAATCTGAGTTTTTGTTTATTTCCTCCTTTTTTTTTTGGGGGGGGGGGGGTCAGTATTAGCAATTGCTTTTTGGCGTCGCTTCAGAACATGCCTAGCTGCCAGTTCTGCGGTGGTTGAAAGGGCGATCCTGGGAAGCACTTTGCGAAGGGAACCAACTATTCCAGGATGCCCCTTGCCACATGTCACAAAGTGATCTGTCCTTTGTCCTCTTTGTGTGGCTCGGGAACTCCAGAGCGAGTCAACAACAGGACATTAAGAGGCAAGAGGAACCTTTTGCCAATCAATTTTAACAGCAATAACAAAACCGCATGCCGCCTGCTTTCATATGCCTGCCACACTGGTGGCCAGCCCTGGCGCCGTTTGCAGAAAGGCCCCAAGTCTTTTGCCTTTGCCACACGCTCAGTGGATAAGCCTGGCCAAGCAACCTACCAGGGGGGCGGGCTGTGCGTGCTGATTGCCCGGGGCGCCATGGACGCGATAGACGCGGGCTTGGATGGTCCACACATCTGCAGGACAGCCGTGTCCATGTAGGCAGTGCTGGAGTGCGCCAGTTCCTGTTCTTCACAGGTGCTCCGAAGCACTGTCGCAATGCCCGAGCAGCAGGCTTACAAGGAGCCTTGTGCGCAGTAAGTACGTCCTGCAAATTTTGGCGATTGTGGAGCGGCCTGGCAATACAGTAATGGCGCGACGCAACTACTGGGCAGCGCTGCTCGACGGTGACCTTGCACGAGCACCACAGGGATGAAGTAGCACTAGACTCAAAGAAAGCTTGCAACTGCTGCTGCAGACCTCCAAAAAACTCTTGGAACACACAGAGCTTGTGCGCGGGTCCAAAATAGCGGTTTCAACTCCTCCATGGCAATGCATCCCTGGCCACCTTTGCCTCGGCATGTAAGGAAAAGGGTGTAAAGGAACTGGCGCAATTTCACGGTAATGAAGAAACCAGGCTTCTGCGCACACAGGTGTTAAGTAATTAAGGACTCACTGGGTTACCGGTGTTCTTAGCATATCTGGTCTGTCTACGGCTAAACTCATGGGCTGGGACGCACTGCTTGTGGCGCACTCGCTGCTAAGGAAGTGCATGCGCCCTACAGCACTACACTTGTTGCTCTGTCACATGAAGCGTGCGAAGCTCGCTTGGGGCACCATTGCCTAATTTGTGTGAGGCTCCTTAGTCTTTTTAGTGCGTCCCGCCGTGCGGCTGTTCGCACGCACTCGTCGGAAAAGTCCAGTACTTGCCAGACCCCGTACCTAGCTGGTCACAGGCTGTTGCTGGTGATTTTACTGTCTAACTGGCTGACTGGCTGGGTTTTGGATGGCTGTCACAGTGCAGGCTGGGCCTCGCGGCCACGGTCTTGGTGGCGGCGCTTTGGGCGCTGCTGCCTCAGCTGCAGCTGGCGCCCCCCTTTCGCCTTGCCGGGCTGGCGGCGGTGTCGTTGTTGGCTGCCTGGCGTGTGGGCTGCCAGGAAACACAAACGCAGTTGGACTACCAAGGGACCTTTGAAGTAGCTTCTGCGAATCCGGGTTTTCTGCCATGCGCTGGGGCGCCTTGCATGACTCAAGTATTGCCTTTCCAGGGCAGTTGTTTGTGTGAGTTTCGGCCTGAAAGGCCCTTGCATGCGATTGCCCCATCACTTTTTGGAGACTTGAAGGCCATGAAGGCGATGCAGGCCTTGAGGCCCTTTTTGTGCATGACATCATTGTCAACCGATTGCATTTCGGTCCGAAGGGGCCCTTTGAGCGATTTGACATTTAGCCATTGAGAGGAAAAGCCATGCAGCGCGTGCGACTTTGAGGACTCACTGTGGTGCAAGCAAGCAGTGCAGTCAGTTGGTAGCGGAGCCGCAGAGCGGCATATTTACAGCTGCAGCGCGGCGAAGCAGTTTTGGTGTGGGACTGCGGAACATAGCAGATGATGGCAGCGCCAGACCTTGCTTTAGGTTCTGCATCGAGCCCACCTCCTCCGCCTGACCGGCATGAGCGTCTATTTGATGACCTGCACGCAGCGTTTTAGGTTTCGAATCCTTCGCAGGACGAGGTCGTTTCCTGGACGGACGAGTGCTAGGAGCCTGTCAGGTAGAATAGAATCCATTGGGAAACCCCCTCTAAAGAGAGAGGGCCGGGTCTTCAGCAGCCCGTCAAAGTGCGCAATGATCTCAAGGGCGCTGAGCACCAGCGCGTCGCCCTCCAGGAGCCGTCGCGGGCGCGTCGTCAGCGCGCGGCTGTATTCCGCGCAGACCGGGCTGGCCCAAACCATGTCGAAGTGCCCCGACGGAAACGTCGTGTAGTCCCAGCTCCGGTGCGAGCCTTCGTGTGAGCGAAAGCAGAGGGTCGAGATGGATCTGGAAGTGCACGAATTGCGCAGCCACTCAGTTTAGCCGTGAAGGCGACTCTTGGATTTGCGACTTGTGCGGCAATCCGGATTTCCGACCAGAGGAGCTGACGCCCCTTGGCAGCGCGTACGGTGATGATGCTCGCGATTCAGACGCAGCAATTGCCCCCGGGTTTGGGACGTCGAGCAGGCGGTGGACCCCCTGGTTATCCTTTTGATGAAGGATACGAGCGTGCAGAGTCCGAGGCCCCGACCAACGACCCGTGTGTTGACCCCCCTTCAGATGGTTCTGCAGGGCGCAGGAGACACAGGCGAGGCAAGCGTGGCAACTACAATCAGGTTAATGCAGATCCGGATGAGGCAGTTCCTGGCCAAGCCATTGAGACTGCTCACCAGGCGAATTCTGGATCAGATGTTTCACGAAATCAAGTTTTGTTGCAGCAGCTGTTGACAGGGTGACCGAGGCCTTGACATGCAAGCCCACCTTGAAGGACGCTGACAAGGATTCATGGACCTCCCGGAAAGGCCCACAGCCTGGAGTGAGGTACACCTTGGCGGTACAACACACATGATGTGCGTGCATTCAGCAAGTGGAAGCGCAAGGTTGAGATTTGGGAGCGACAGGTTTCTGCATATTTGCCGAAGAATGAGGCGGCGCTTTTGCTGTATACGTCGCTCACCGGAGAGGCCGAAGATGAGATTGAGTACATGGACATGGCCCAGGTTGACAGCAAGGATGGCATCAGCCATATTATGTCTGTTTTGGAGGGCGCACTGCAGCAGAAGACAATTTTCCTGAAGAGACGGTATTTAGATGATTTTGAGCATTTGCAACGTTATGCCAATGAGACCCTGAGAGCTTTTGCAAACAGGTATCAACGTTGCGAAACTGCACTCCAAAGTGTAGGAATCAGTGTTGGCAGCATGTACGACTCTGAAGCGAGGGGATCGAGGTTGCTTGACCGGGCTCGGGTTTCAAGGGAGCACCAACGCATGATCCTGGTCGCAGCACACCACAGCCTGGATTTCCAGAGCATCAAGGATGCCATGATGCTGATGTTTCCTGATCACCGTAGAGCTCCACAGCTGTATGGACGTGACGGGAACGTTTTGAAAGGCGGTGGCAAGGGCGGCAAAGGTTCTGAGCATCCTGGAGGTAAGGGCGCTGGTAAATCTAAGGGTTCCCACCATTCATCAAGCTCCAGTTCAAGCAATGCAGCCCCACGCGAGCGGAGGGTGTACATCACTGATGAGGCACCCGAGGTGCAGGCAGATGATGAGATTCTTGCATCAGACGCCGGAGAGCCCGATGATGAAGACGCTGATGAGGCCGGGCTACCGGACATTCCGGAAGGCGATGCAGATGCTGATGAACAAGAAATTGATCCAGCAAGATGATTTGGATCAGCTTGCGCATGTGCTTACAGTGACGGCGAAGCGATTGCAATCGGCGACGCTGGGACGTAAGTACACTGGATATCAGAAGACGACTGCAAGCAGGAAGAAGAATTCACATTGCGCAGCATGTGGCGGCGCAGGTCACTGGTATGCGGATCCTGAATGTCCCATGGCTGGACAGGCAGACAAGAAGGGCAAGGGCAAGGGCGATGACGTTTCACAGCACAGCAACAGCAAGGGCAGGTTTGACAAGCGTGGCACTGGCGCGAAAAAGGTGCTGGCGGTTACAAGACATCCTGCTGGAGAAGAAATCACACACGCTGTAGCAGTGGATGAGCAAACCAAGGAGCCCACCTTCTTCTCCTATATGGCCGTTTCGGGACACGACGTTGTTCACAACATACAGGAGGTGCATGTGACTTCTCTTGCAGATTTCAAGGGCTATGTTGTTTTGGATACAGCTTGCCAACGTTCATGTACAAGCAGCACCTGGGTATCCAACCACACGCAGCTTTTGGGCAAGTGGCGGATGAAGCCCATGATGGTTGATTCATCAGATGATTTTCAATTTGGCGCAGGCGAGATGCAACGTTCCCACCAACGAGCTTATCTCCCAGCTGGCATCGGACAGCAATGTCTGGCCCTCGAAACGAGCGTTCTGGAGAACTCGTCGATTCCTTATTTGGGTAGCCTGCGGATGATGGAGAAGTTGGGATGTGTGATTGACATGCCGAGCCACAAGATTTGGTTGACTGCTTTTGGTATTTCTGTGCCACTGGTCAATATCAATGGGCACGTTGGAATGAACATTTGTGATTATCCTGAGGAAACGCATGAGAGCTGGAAAGCTCTTTCTGATGAGTCAATTTGGAAAACGCCAGACCCTGAAGTCGTGTTTCTTCCGCAGCACAAGCCGGCTGAAGTGTCGATTGCAGATCTGCCAGATGCCCATTCGTCACGCACCTCCGAGCTGGTTGACAGCATGGCGGCGGATCGTGATGATGGTGCGCAAGGCGGAGATGATGTTGCTTTCAGCAATGGCCAGCGCAGTGAGGCTGGGTCTACGGCCACGAAGATGGCTGGCATCTCACGAGCTTCTGCAGGAGGAACACGAGAAGCAGGCGCAGATCAGGGAGTACCACAAGGCAACGAAGGCGCCGAAAGCCGAATGCGTTCACCCGGAGTTTCAACGCTACGGCAACAAGTACGGCAGGTTCAGCAAGTGCCTTCGGTGCGGGATTCGGTACCGCTGGTCAGACGAAGCAGCAGCTTGGGAAGTGTTCCGACCAACCTCTTCACAAAGCTCTGCCTCGTTGCCGCTGCCTTCACCGGCATCAATCATACCCTCAGCGACTACAGGCAAGGCGGCGAATTCCATGGCTTCAGCAACGGCCAAGACCAAGGCGAAGACGAAATTTTCACGGGCCAGTTCGGGGAATACCTCAAAAGGTTCAACGACGAAGCAGCTGGTTCCGGCAGAGGAGGGCGAGATCCATCAGGACAGTTTCGAGATGGTCAGTGGCGAGCCTATGGAGGACACGGAGAGCGAGGTCAGCGCGGAGTACCGATGGGAGTGAGAAAGAGGTTGAAAGGTGAATGGAATTCAATTTCGAGAGTCTACCAGGCTGAGCTAGCAGGACTTCAAGAACGGCAAGAACATGGAAGGTTCAAGACCGACCTGCTGGAGCTCTACGCAGGTGAGGGGAAGCTAACCCGCGAGGCACATCACTATAACCTGACCACCACGGAGCCGCTGGACATCAAGAGCGGCACGGATTTGGGCTCCGACGAGGGCATGGCTTTGGTGGACTATCTGATGAAGGAGATGACTCCAATGTGCATAGCGGCAGGCTATACATGCACAAACTGGAGCCTGTTCAATGAGAACATGAACTTTCATCACCGGCTTCACGAGCTTGAGGAGAAGCGTGATGAAGAACGACCACGGCTGCGAAAGCTTTGCAGTTGGATGGATGAGACCGCGGAGAGAGGTGGATTCTACATCCTGGAGAACCCCCAGAAGTCAAGACTTTGGGAGGAGGAGTGCGTGCAGGAGTTGATCAACAAGCACAACGGTTTTATCAAGGACATCGATGGCGGTGCCTACGGCCAGATCAACCAAGAAGGCGATCCAGTCCGTAAGACCTTCAGGTTCGTAACGAACAGCAAGCACGTGGCCAATCTCTTGGACAAGCGCCTCACCGCGGAGGAGAAGAACATGTGTGTCCCCATTCAGGGACGTGAGACAAAGGAGAGCCAGGTCTACCCGGATTCGCTGATTCACGCGATCTTGCAGGGCATCCAGGCTGAGGCCAAAGAGTACAATAGAATTCGGTTCAACTCGAAGGTCCACATGGTGCACTACGCGAGGCCGGTGTCAGAGGTCGAAAGATGGGCCCCGATCCTGGCTGATGTGGAGAGGGTCTTCGAGGGCAACAGCTACAAGACGGTTGATGTGACCGAGAGCGATGAGATCTACCAGAAAGTGGTGGAGCTGGTCCCATGGAAGCTGACCAAGATTCAAGTGGTCAAGATGCCGCTGGTGAGGAGGTTCCCCATTCACTTCCCGTACACCCATCGTGGGTGTGCTCTGGAAACTACATCCGGGAAGATTGTGATCGAGTCCGAGGACGTGGCCAACATCAGGCACCTTAAGCAGCGATTCAGTGAGCCTGTCAAGGTTGGGATTATGTTCTACGGCACTGCGGAGGACGATGGCAAGGAGGAACCACCTGGAGATCCAGCACTACCAGTTCCAGATATGGGTACGGACATCACGTTCCCGAATTGTCCAACTGGTGTTGACAAATCAATCAGGAGGGCAATCGCGCGGCTTCACATCAATCTCGGACACGCCCAACGTCACGAGATGCAGCGCCTGCTAGCGTTGAATGGCGCCTTGAGTCAGCAAGCACAGCAAGGCATCAAGCACATGGTGTGCGGATCGTGCCAGAGGACAAAGACGCCAGCGAGAGTGAACCCGGCGTCTACACACGTGCCGTTGGGGCAATTTGGTGAAGTTTTGCAAGCAGATTTGTTCCATGTGAGGAGCATTGTGGGCGACAACTACATGATCCTGGGCGTGATCGACGAAGCGACACACCTACATGGAGCAAAAAGAGTGCCATCTCGAGATCCGGAAGTTCTGGCCAAGACCCTGGTGGAGATTTGGTGTCAAGCCTATGGATGGCCGATCCAGGTGAAGCTCGATCCGGACGGAGGGTGGCAAGGTCAATTTCGCGCACTTGCAGATCAAGCAGGTGTGCATTGCAGTGTAATACCAGCCGAATCTCATCACAAGATCGGTCTGATAGAACGGCACAACGCGGTTCTACGAGACAGTTTGGAGCGCGTGGTGGACAACCAGTCGGTGGCGACTGCAGAGGACATGGATTTAGCTGTGATCGCGGCCTTGCACGGCAAGAACAGCTTGGTTCATTTTCATGGAAGGCCACCGTACATGGCTGCTTTTGGTCGACTACCTCGTCTACCAGAAGAACTCCTGAGTGATCCACATGGTTTGGTGGTTGGCGAGTCCGTGGGTGAGAACCACAGGAAGGCCGAGCTCTACCGCTGCGAGGCAACCAAGGCGATTGCGGAGATGCAGGCAAGCGCATCGATGAGAAGGGCGCTTTTGAGGAAGACAGCTCTTCGTGCAAGTCAACTACCGGAGGTGGAACCAGGGAGCAAGATAGCTTACTGGAGGTGGCAACATCGAGCCAAGGGATCCAAGAAGAAGGGCGGCTTCTCCATCGGCAGATACCTTGGTCCAGATCCCGATGGTCGCTCATGTTGGATTCATACCGGTTCGACTACGGCAAGAGTGACTCCAGAGCAACTACGAGTGGCAACGTCTTTTGAGGATTGGACGCCCGACGAGGAGGCTATCCGCATCTTGAAGGACGGCGCAGCATCAATTCGACAAGATCTATGGGAAGATCACCGAGGAGAAGGGCCACCACAACAAGATGAGATGACGCGCACGGAGGAGGTCATAGAGGGCGAGTTTGGTGAGCCAGAGCTTGCAGCACTTCCTCATGCACTACCAACACCAGCTAAGCGAAAAGCTTCAGATGATCTCGGTGAAGAAGAAGCTCAACGTGGTGACTTGCAGCAGAACATCAACATCCACAACGAGGAGAACGTCCGAGTGGAAGTATCAGTCCTGCCTCAAGCCCCACTTCAACGAGCACAACAACCACGTGTCAGGTACGGCATGCACCCTGACCAACCTGAACTGCGAGTTCCGCTTCTACCCCCATCACGAGGGCGGTCAAGAGCCAGGTCACGGACTCCTTCGAGAAGGGAATCCACAACTACGGCGGCACCACCTCAAGCACTACTACCAGAGATAGAAGATGGAGCTATGGCAGATTCTGAGGCTGAGTTGGAACCTCAACTTGCCCTACCAGCACCTGACACAGCAGCATCAGCACAAGTTCCAGAAGCGCCAGATGAGCACATGCAACCGCCAGAACTACCTCTTGAACAACCAGCACAAGATCAGCTACTTCCACAGCCTGAAGGTCAAGTTGGTCAATCTGGCAATGACGTCCTCTACACCTACGTGATGGACAGCATTGGAGCTATCACGTTGATGGACGAAACATGGGATGGTTCGCCGGAGGTGGATGTTCCTTTTCCATGTAGGTCTTCTTACCGGGCCTATGTCAACAGCAAGAAGGAGGAGAACAAGCCGGAGGATGACGCAATGCTGAGCCATACTGGCAGCGAGACGAACAATGAAGACGGCAAGGGTATAGCACGTCGGATGACGCGAAAGGAAGCAAGGCAGCTTGATCGCGAGATTCCGTGGCGAGATATCCTGGAGATGAACGATAAGACGAGGGCGGAATACATCAAAGCAATACAGAAGGAGGAGGCCTCTTGGTTTGCTTGGAATGGTGTGACCCCCGTGGATGACGCAACGGCCGAAGCAATATTCCGTGATCCTGCAAGGCGAAAACGGATACTGAAGAGCCGATGCGCTTATCGAGACAAAAGCAAAGGCGCAGGTGCCTTACAAGCAAAAGCACGAGTAGTTGCTGTTGGATGTTCTGATCCGGACCTTTTTCAACTCAACCGGGACAGTCCTACACCCACAAGGTTGAGTGAATATCTGATTTTGAACATATACTGCAGTGGCCGGAACGGAATGGTTGGTTCTACGCGTTGCAGGTTTAAACTGTGGTCTGGAGATGTACGCACAGCTTTTCTGCAGGGCGAACAGGACAGCAACGAGAGCGAGGAGGATCTTTATATGGCTCCACCCAGAGACCCCCTCATAGAAGAAGCAGGAGCATATCCACATCGTCTGTATAAGATCACGGGCAACGTTTACGGACTGGCCAATAGTCCTCGGTTGTGGGCACGGGTGATCATCAGACGAATGACCGGAGCGCACTTCCGACAGGCCCCAATCGAACATATCTTCGATCTCCTTGATGTCATACAAGTCCTCGTTGTAGCACACCAGAAAATCATCGACATATGCCAATACCACGCACACCAATTCACGCTTGCCCGGCTCAACCTCCAAGTGCTTCAGAAACATCATCCGATCATATCCGTGACCATCACACGGCACGATGAGGACAACCCCATCACTTTCAAGGGCAAAGAGATATCAACAATATTCGAGGATGGCAGATTTAAGGTTCGCTTGGCACAGCCGAAGTTTATTTCTGCATTGGAACCAGGTCGTCTACCCCGTGGCCGATTGTCGGGTGAGACTTCTCTGACAGACCAGGAGCGTCAAGACTTTAAGTCTATGACTGGGAGTTTGCAGTGGCTGGCGGGTCAAACAAGACCGGATATTGCGAGTGTGGTATCACTTTCTTCAAAGGGTCCGAGAACGACAGTTGAGGACTTGAAGAATGTCATCGATACAATTGACTTTGTACGAAGCACACCGCAACACGGTATCGTTTTGGAGCCGGTTCCGATAAACCCTGGTACAGTGATTGCAGTTTTTGGTGACAGCGGCTGGGCAAATGCAGAGCAGACACGCAGTCAGCATGGTGCACTGATCGTTATTACATCACCGACGGTGACAGAACAAGTTGCACCTTGTGGGATCATTGACTGGAAGACGTCGAGGAGCCCGCGGGTTTGCAGAAGCACGCTGTCGGCAGAAGCAAGTGCAGCAGACATGGCAGTGGACAGAGGCGCGATGGTGAATGCTTCACTTTCTGAGTTGATCTGGGATGTGCCAGCACATCGCGTGGGACATCGTCTGCGTATGATTCAGATTACAGATGCAAAGAGCCTTTTCGACTGCATCAGCCGTGAGAATCCAAGTCTTGAAGACAAGCGTTCTCTGATAAGTGTGCGGTCGATACAGGAGATCATCAGCAGAGATGACATTTTCTGGACGCCAACTTTTCTGATGCGGGCGGATTCCTTGACGAAGGTTGACAAGGAGTTGCAAGTGCAGATGGCAGAGTGGTGCCAGAAGCCTTTTGTACAGCTCCGTGATGGGTCAAAGAAACAAAGATAAGTGTGAGTTTCGGCCTGAAAGGCCCTTGCATGCGATTGCCCCATCACTTTTGGAGACTTGAAGGCCATGAAGGCGATGCAGGCCTTGAGGCCCTTTTTGTGCGTGACATCATTGTCAACCGATTGCATTTCGGTCCGAAGGGGCCCTTTGAGCGATTTGACATTTAGCCATTGAGAGGAAAAGCCATGCAGCGCGTGCGACTTTGAGGACTCACTGTGGTGCAAGCAAACAGCGCAGTCAGAGTTTGAACGGGTTAACACTGGGTGGAAAGGCCTGAAACGAACATTTGTCGCGCATGTTACTTGAGTGCCTTCCTGAAGCGAGCTGGGCGTTGTTTTGGTGTCGCCGATGGCCGTGGCTCCGAATTAGTTCAATTCAGTCGCATCCTGCCTTCTGGTTTTCACCTACCCGGACGCACCCAAACACAGAATGGCCCAATTGCACCATGAGTGACGAAGCCTTATGGAACCCGTCTGGAGCCCACCCATGATGCAAGATCCATACATGTGCACTTCGTCTCATATTTATGAGTTGCAATTATTTGCCGAGAGAAAATTGGTGCCCAGAAAGCCGCCACGTTTTGACAACAGCTGTTCTTCCTCAAGGCCGCAAGCATTGACCCGCCTCTCTCCTGCGTCGTGCCCAGGGTTTGTGCCACGCCCGGAGCTCCTTTCACTAGGCATGTTCACATCTTGGTAGTGTCCCTGTTGACGGTCCTCGTGGGGAAACCAACATAGCACCATGTTTTCCTCTTGAAGAGGCGCCCTTTCAGGTACCATCCCAGAAGGGATCCTTTCCAGCAAGCCGCAACGAACGACAGGGGAACACTGGAACACGTTTGTTTCTTGAAAGATGGATTGTTGGATTCCGAATGGTTGGTCAACTGGACCTTTAGGTTCTGTACCTGGCGGCCGGGACGCTTCTCCTGAATCTGGCCTTCGTTGCGCTCCTGTGCAGCGTGTGCCATGCAGCCCTGCACCCGGGCTCTGTGGAGGCCAGACACCCCAGAAAACCCCCGTTCTCTCACCTCACCCAAAATGGGTGGGGTTTGAAGCCGCAGGGTTGATTTTGTTTTTGGCTTAGATATCTGTTTGTTTTGGGGTTTCTTTGTTGGTTCTCTGCAAAGATAGCTGTAAAGTTTCCAAAAGGATCCCCTTGGTCTCCCATGCCTACTGGAGGTTTGGGGTCCCATCAGGGAAGGCATATCAGTACTCTCGGCGGGAATGCAATGGCAACTCCAAGTGTGGACGATTCTTCCCGCACACATTTGCCTTTTCACACGGGACACCACCTGAAACCACCATGTTCAATTGGGTGGCTTAGCTTGCAAAACACCTCCCAGGAATGTGGCGGAATAGATCAAAAAGGATCCCTTGGCCGCCTTGGAATGGAGCACATGCTTCAGCCACCCCGCATGTCACCAGAGCAGCGTTCCCATTGCATGCTTGTCCAGATGTTATTGCCTGCTCAGGAAGGAAGCAAGAAACACAACCTACAGGGATCCATCGCCTGCCGCAGTTGGGCAACTGGCAGGTAGGGAATTTCGAGCTCATCAACGAGGCCTCCGAGGGGGCGGTGATTTTGGGGATGGGGTGGAAAGTGAGCTAAATTTCCGCCTGACGGGCGTGCATCGACATGAAGAGGCTGTGACTTGCACAGGACAAGTTGCCGATTGATCTTGGCCCACAAGGCGGAAGCATGGTGCATGTGCAATGGGGGCTTTGCTGTGAGCGGTGAACCTGGGGCGCACCAATCCACTCAAGCAGGAAGCACAGTAAAGACTTGGAGCGGTGCAGTGGGTCTTGTTGAGCCACTTCTCGTTTGCTCCAGAAAATGTGTGGCCAGCAAGGCTAGACAGGAAGGACACTGAGGGACACTGAGGGACCGCGGGTCACTCATCGTGCGATGTGCCCACGGATTTCTCGGCTATTGTAGAACAACTGGTTGCTTGCAATAGCCCGCATCTAATGTACCCCTTGGAAAAAGACAGTTGGTCCGTACGCGTTAGTGTTTGTATGTTTCCGGATTGGTGGTCAGTGCCAGGGATCCATGCTTAGGCTATGACTGGTGTTTCTACAGGTGTTCCTACACATCCCGTTTCGGGGACTGCCCGGGGGTCTCCATTTGGTCGAAGCTCCTCGAAAGGGCGAATGGGGGACTGCCGGTGGGCAGCTGGATCACAGATCACAGCTTTTTAGAGGACGGAAGCACCCAGAATGTCTCACGTTTCCGGACATCAGCTTCGAGCATGCAAGATGTGGGGTTTCAAGACTTTTTCTTTATTTCTTTCTTTCTTTCTTTCTGTGTTTCTTCCTTTTTTGTCTCGCTCTCTCTCTCTCTCTCTCTCTCTGTCTGTCTCGGGTGGTTCCTCTGTTGAGTTTCGTCAATGCCGTAGTAGCTGGGCAAGAAAAGCACCATGTGCAGTTGCAACTTAACAGCCTGGTTGTGGCCTGCCTTTGATTAAGAAGCGGAGGAACATCGCAGTGGACAGCCAACATCGCCAGGACGAGCTTTGAGAGAGGCGACCACCTGCGACGAGTTCAGCGCATCGGCGAGTCGGGAATTTCGCGAGAGGGGTGTTGTCCGGAGAGTTGTGGTTTCCGGGGTTAGCTGCACCCCTTCTGTTTTCAGGCTTGGTTGCACATGTGTGACACCCTTGAAGCCGTCAATGGATTTCCTCCGGACCGAACCCTTCAAGGAAGAAGCGGTGAGCCATGGGATGGCTGCAAAGAACTTGTGCAACACATCCATCAGCTGCCAGTTGAAGCTGCGGTTCTCTTTCAAGAGATCGGAATGCCTTGACAGCTTGCGGAGCCTTCGTGACTCAAAGCGTGTTCTTGTGCCTTGCGTGCCCGTGGCCTTCAGGCAAGCGCTGGGTTTCACCAGACGCTCGGTCCTCCAGTGCTATGTCACAGCTTTTGCCGGCTTTCCCTACCAAACCTTTGCTGTTGGGTGGCTCTGCGTGATTTGCTCATTTTCCCAATGGCCCCTTTTGAAGCACGAAGAGCAATGGTTTTGTGGCCTTCTTCCCTCCTTTTGTTTTCGGCCATTGCGGAACTCTGAAATTCGATTGCCCCCAAACGGCCGCCTGTTTCTGGCGACCTTCAGTGATGGCTGGGACCGCAGTTTGCTAGGCACAAGTTCGCTCCGCCTGCCACAGCGTAGCGCAGCAGGGAGGCTTCGCAGAAAAGGCTTGCGCCTTTGCGGCCTCAAGTTTGATGAAGCCATGTCATGAGGTTGCCACTGTCAATGAACATGCAAGGGCTTGCGAAGCGAGAGGCACGAACATGGCGCAGCTAAACTGGGCGCAACCTGGAGTCATTTGCAAGGATTCCGTTTTTCCTGATTGTACGGTTTGGGTCTTAGAACTGTAGCGGTCGTATACCGCGAAAAGACGGAGGGTGCTGATGACGTCGATTGCGGGGCCGAACTAATTAGACCATATTAGACCATGCCGCACCTCCACAACTCAACCGGAGTGTTCTGTTACACGTCAATCGACAAGATTTGTAGGGAATACCGGAAAAAAGGGAATATTAACGGAACCGGTCTCAAGTACTACAGCAATGAAAACAGTCTGAAACGGGCAGTTTGATGGAAAGGAGATGGGAAGGAGAATCAAGGAACATGATCTTGAGGAATGGCAAATGCTCTTTGGGCAGTCAGCCTGGACCAGGCGAGAAAAGCAAATTGCGCCTTGCTTCGCATGAGCTTGTTTTTTTTTAATATGTCCAGGAAGGAATATCTTCGCCATCAGCTCTTTATTTATCTTCATTTCACTAGCCAGGGGAAGCAGTCCCCAGATTCCAGGGTGCACGCATCAGGGCAACAGGACTGGCCATCAGGCTTCGTCATGCGCCATGCTTCCTGACTCCAAACCTTGTCAGGTATGCTCCTAAACAAGGAGTCGGGCGATACCTGGCTCACGTCCGAGAACTCCTCGGATCCCAAAAATGTTTGTTTTGGGCGGATGGGCGGGAGCCAAGCTTGCGGGCTCAAGCTTCCGCTCCTTTCGGCCTCCATCATGAAGAATGCGCCACGGCCGGATGTGGGAGATCGGGCATTCCGGCGGCCCTTCACTGCAATTGCGGCACCTGAGATTTGAAGTTTGTTCTGCTTGGAATTTCCGGGGAACTAAGTAAAGTTGGCAGTTGGGGCACGAGGAGCTGGGAAAGTGGACTGCATGCCTCAACAAAGCCATCGTTTCTGTTAAGTTTCTGGGGCAAATCAGGTTGAAGCCTCACGCTAGCCAAATCCGCCATTTCTTCAGAAGGTGGTTCGTGCGGTGTTCCTTAGTTCAGATTGAACGCAAACATGATTTCTGAAGCTGTGCGTGCGTGTGTGCTTCTGCATTGCGCGCCTTGTGCTTTCGATGCTGCCATCAAATACTCAACATATTTTCCAGCGCAACGCAACATCTTTCCAACCATCGTAGAAGCTGACAAGAACTTCCATTTGCTTAGCTGTTTTTTTGTTTAAATGTTTCCCCCCTTTTGGTTTTAAAGGGAATCTATCACTACTGGAAATATATATATATATATATATATATATATATATATATTTTTTCCAGGGTTTTAAGCAAATGGAGGAGAAGGTTTGGTAGGACTGTCCGCCCTTCCACAGAGAGCCCAGGTCTGAGGCTGAAGCTGCGGTGGCCGCTGGCCCAGTTTGCCAGAAATGGGAGCCCCACGTCGTCGGAACCTCGTGGGGAACAAACCGGCTCAACCCTGGAGCCTTAGGGCGGAGAATTCTCCGGCTGCCGCTTTGGTCAAAAGTGGGGAGCGTTTCTCAAGAAAATGCGGGGGTGCGCGAGTGTCGGCGCAGGAATCACCACCCCCTATCAGCAGAGGCTTTGCCCTAAACTTCAGGTAGTGATGAGCTACCCCCCCCAAAGCTACCCCCCCCAACAGAATAAGGGCTAGACGCTCCTTCTCAACTGACTGAGGTTTCAGGAGTCATGAGAGAGTGAGATGGCACGTGTTCCGGGCACGCGCCGCACAGGCTTCAGGGTTTCTTTTCGGTCCCTGTTTCAGCACTTTTTTGGGGCTCCTGTAAATCGTGCTATTTTTTTTTGGGGGGGGAGCTCCAGAATTGTGCAAATAGCGAAATTTTGAAGCTCCCCCCCAAAAAAAAACTAAGGCTTGACCACGCACCCCGGGGGCCTCTTTTGGGACCGCGCCTGCTCTCACCCCTTTTGAAAAGAGGGGGCCTCTAAATGGCGCTACGCATGCAGAGCAGTTGCGGTGTGACCATGGCCTTTAGGCCCTAGGCTGCCGAAATGGCAGGGCTTATTAAGCCTTATTAAGCCTTATTAAGCCTTATTAAGCCTTATTAAGCCACATTCGATAACCAGTAAATAAGGCTTATTAAGGCTTAATAAGGCTTAATAAGGCTTAGTAAGGCTTAATAAGGCTTAATAAGGCTTATTCCCCTTCACGCTGCTTGGCAGCGCAGGGTTGGTGCTTATTCATTTTGGGGGGGTGGCTTTGGGGGGGGTAGCTGCTCTCTTCCTGAAAACTTTGGCGCCTCGACAGTGTTGCCTTGTGCCTGGGGGCCCGTGGTTTGATGTGCTCACAAGAACAAGAGGGCAAAATGCAAACACGAAGAGTATCAGATTATCTTTATGTTTGATCTCGAGTCAGCCTAGGTGTCGCCACGTGTCTCAGCAATGGATGCCTGAGCTTCCCACTGGATTTCTACATGTGCAACACCAACTGGCTTTCACTTTTGTTTTCACTCATCGTCTAGTTTTTAAGTACTGTGCTTCATCCTCCTCATGCCGACTCATGCCTTGAGAGCCAAGTTCGGCATTGATGCCAAGTCCTTGTCACAACAGGAATGCACACCGTTCCTGTCGTCAAGGGAAGTTTCCGGGTTGCTTTTGCATGGCTGGTGACAACAAAACTGATGCACCAAGGACGCGCCCAATGATTCTGGCTGTAAGGCGTGTGGAGGGAGCGTAATCATCAGCTGGATGCGCTTCGAAAGACGCACATACTTTGATTTGAGTCGCTCGTAAGGAGGGGCCAGCGACGAGACAGGTCATCAAACGGGGATGCATTTGGGGCCGTTGTCTGTAAGCCCCAAGCCCCTCTTTGATCAAAAAGCGAAGAGGGAAGACCCGGCGGACACTCGCAGGTAGCTACTCCACCGGTGGCAGAGGAGCAGCATTTGTTAGATGCTGCTCCTTGGCTTGGGGCATCTCGGCGTATGAGACGTCACGGTCGTGTGGTGTCACTGGTTGTCTGAGGTACCCTGCTCAGGTGGGATTGAAGGGAATCCAAAAGGACAACCATGGTCAAAAGACCTGGTGATGGTCAACAGGTATAGCGCAATGGTCGCAACGACTGATTAGGGTTGGTAGGGTGATCATGGACAAACGCTTTACACCATTGCAAGGCCTCCTGTTGAAGCTGAGGCCATGGCTCGCATACGGGGGTTTCACCAGGCAGTTGTGTCATATGCAGCTGCTGCAGTACTCCGCAAATTCGCATGGGACCGGTTGCCCAAGAGCAGTTTCCTCCAGGTTGCCCTGCAGGAGGATACTCTTTGGTGCGATTCCTTGGATGACTCTGTCGGCCCTCAGAAAACTACTTTAAGAAGGGCTCCCCTTTGCTTCTGAGGGATTTGGAGGAGACGGTGTGATATTGCTGCAAAAGCCTGCTACGAAGATAGGTTCACCTGGGGTCCCTAAAGCAAGTCCGGAGGCTGACCCCTGAGAAGAACGGTTCTTGTGACGGGCCTTTGGAAAAGCTCCATGTCGTATTTGCAACTTTTTTATGTGGTTAGTATCTTTGTCCAAATGTGAGGAGTCCGCCAAAATGGAGTCCATTAAGCGCTCTGACTCAACTCAGAATGATGGGGCTCTGGAAGCGGCTTCCCGTGAAGGGGGAAGCGCATGTCCAGGTCTAGTGATGTGCTGTGGGGCTGCCGTATGCAGCAACCGTAGTGATTGGGCTTGTTGTGCGCTATTCCTTTGGCAGCCCAAGCAAGATATCCGGGGGCCACCTTTCTTTGGCGGGTAGACCAGCCATGTGTTGGCCCTATTGTTTGGGCTGTGATGCGGCGGGAACGCCCATCGGCCATGCAGCGCCCGCCTCGCGCTTGAGGAGAGAAGAAGCCCATCTTCCTTTAGCCAGATGCTGCCGATGCACGGCTGCAGTTGCGGAGTTTCTGAATGTTGCCGCACGGTATGGACCCAAAAAATAAAAATAGCCAGACACTGGGAGGTCGCTGTGCGCTATTTTGAGCCACAACCATGTGCGGAATCGCCCACTAAAGAACAACCTATTTGATTTTCACATCTTTGGACGTTTCCTCTTCAAATCTCTTCGGCATTTGTCGGCAAAAAGTCAAGCCAAGTTGTTCTGGCGCGTGAGCCCATTGTAGCTCCCGACTTGGTAGAGCACGCGTTTGGTGCATCTTGGCGGCGGACGTCCCTGCCCCTTCTTTGCCGAGACACGACCAACAACTGAAGGCTCCCTTTCGTAGTTTTTAGAAAGTTGCGAACCGCGAGTTTGCCCCGCCTTCATCGTATAGATGTTATTTCTTCATGGGGTTGCATGGGTCATGCGGGACAGGATGTTTTTTTTTTTTTTGCAGGCATTCGGGTGACTTGAACGCGCGCACGGCACTGGTGGATGTGCCTGGATGGATGGATAGATGGATGAGCGTGGATGGATGAATGCATGGGCGCTGGTCTGAAGAAGAGAAGGGAAGGAAGGATGAGTCCCAGGGGGCTTGTGCCGAGTAGTTGAGCTAAGCACATTTATTCGTCAAGAAGCTGTCTTGAATGAAGCGCGCACTTCTTGCTTCTTTCACCTCCAAAAGGCACTTCATCCAGGTGTTGGCACTTATGTGGCGGACAGGCTCACGCGTTCTCAGCCTGAAGGGCCGGATATGATGCAACTGCTAAGGCCGATTGGTTATGGAGAAGAATTCACGCGGCCTTACCGGCCTTACCTTGGGTGTTGACACATGCTTATCTCAGGAATTTTCCCTACTTGGAAACCGTTTACTTCCACAGGGTAATTCTTATGCTTCAGACAGGTGATTGGCTCTTCAAGATGTTTGTCCGGGCTGCAATTCAAAGGCACATAACTACTGTTACCCATGCGAAGCCACACGTGCAGCAGCAGAGTGTTCCTTCCTTCGCTTGCCCTTCTTAGGGTTTCGGGTTCTGCGTTTTAGGGTAGGGTTGGGCGTGCTTAGGTTGACGATTTTGTTTTGCTAGGCCTGGGCTTTGGTTCAAGCTTGAGGTTTTGTGTTGTGGGCTGTTCAGGGGCTCGGGAACAAGTTTTAGGATTGAGGGTTTCGGATTTGGGGCTAAGGCTCAGACTCAGCACGCAACAACAATTATAAAGTTGGCACGAGCCGGCATGTGATGGGACGTTTCTGCTGCAGCTGCCACATATTGTTGCGGGCTGTCGTGGGACGGTCGCGGAGTTCACAAGCGGAAGGGCAAGTTGTTTTTACGAATTGAGTCATGTGGGGGAGTCTCAACACAAACTGTTCAAAGCATGTCCGGGCTCAGGATGGAGGCCCAACCCACCGGACTGACGGCAGTCACCGGGGACGTGTCGCCCAAGAAGCGCCTGGAGGACCTGCGGGGCAAAGAGGCTGAAGGATGGAATGGTGGGGCATTAAATCTGTCTATTTTGTGGTGAGCTTACCTGGGGGCAACAAGCGCTCACCATGATGTAGCCCTTTTACTTGGGGATCCCTTACTGCAGGGTTTGGAACTAGCGTGCAATTTGAGGATTAAATGGCTATGATCATGATCATTTGATGTTGTGTGATGGTGAAGCACTCTAAAAGGCTCGTGGACGGCCATTCCAAGGCTTAAGGCCTTAAGGCCATCCCTGAAACCGCATCGCCGCAGTCTTTTTTCGCGGGGAACTTGTCCTCGAAGCTTAAGTTTGGAATCACCACTCAGATGAGACAGCATGCACTTTCAGACCGGCGCTGCTGCTGTGCTCTTTGAAGTTCAGGTCTTAGCTGCCTAGATCGGAGCCTGTATCTCTTGCTTTCCAATAATCCCTCCAAGCCCTGGCAATTCTACAAGCCGAACCTGCTCCTACCTCAGGGGAAGTGGAACGTCACGAGCCACAGCATGTTTCGCCGTTGTTAGAAGCCAGCAGCGCGAAGTTCACAGAGGAACACAGGCCTGTGGCAGCTTGGCTGTTGGAATGCAGACTCTTCTGCCGCAAATTGATCAGCAACAACAGCTGACGTGATCTGCCAGTTTGAAGCAATACGCCTGTCTATTCAACATAGATCTCGGCAAACTTCTAGCAGCTCTTTCTGTGGGATGTGTGGGGCCCGGGAATTCCAGGGGCCCGGAGCGCGAGCCAATACCTAGAGCACCAGCACTCGACCTGGACAATTCCGCCAGTCAAGTGCCCAGAAGACAGCCTGAAATGCTATGTTTTGGGTGCCCATGAATATCAGTGGGCACCTTTTTCGTCGCCTTGCTGAGCCAAGACCCTCTGGACGCAACGACAGAGAGAGAGAGAGAGAAAGAAAATAATAGAGAGAAAAACAAGTGCCCAGAAGCCCGGCGCGTCAGTGTTCTGCCCCTTCAGATTTGGCTCGGCAAGGGAACCTCAGATCTCCCCAGGCTCCGACAGCTTAGATGCATGAGCAGTGTGTGACCTTACTCCAAACTGTGATCCGCCAGCGAGTTGTTCTGTAAGAAATTCACATCTTTGGAGGATGGGGCTTGGTTGAAAGCACCTGGGGGCCCACAGGTGCCGCAAACGATAGAAACCTGAACCCCGAGCAGAGACAGAGATCTGGCCGTTTTAGGCACCTGGCGGTTTTTCGGGGGAACCCTGGCGGGAGCTTTGCGCAGGACGAACCTCTTCCGGGCAGGCCGGCGTTGGTGTCCTGTTTGGGTCAGATTGGCCAGAAGTAGGCGGAATCTGCTGGTGTCGCTCTGGTTCGTTTTCTGCGGCTACCGTGCTTCATTCGTTTGTGGAACTTAGATGGGGTTGGTTGGTAGCCGAGTCATAGCTGGGTTTGTGTGCCTGCATTGAGGGAAACCACTGAATGTGATGCGGCAGCTGAGGGCCAATCGGAATTGCATGGCTAGCTCTCGGGATCATGTATCGTGGCAAGTCACGGATGTATGGTGACCCAGGGCCGATCTGATCGTTTGTTGCGATCAATGGCAATTCAAAGGAGGACTTTTTGGCATTTTGCTTTTGAAACTTGGGCCATTCAGCATCTGCACATTTCCACGCGCCTCCAAGAGTCTGCCTTAGGAGGGAGTGCGAGGGTCCGTTGGCACTGTAGGCTTGACCAGGTCGTTTTGCAGCAAAGGCTACATAGAGAAAAAGCGAAACACACATACACACGTGAGCTTCGGTCAAAAAGCAAAAAACAATAATCTAGTCTCAACTATTGTCAGTTTGGGTGAGACATTCGTGGACCCAGAAAACTCACGAATGTCCCCAGTGAGGGTATGCGCGTAATGTTCACCATGGCTCACGTGACTTGTTGCAACCAAAACACATCCAACGCTTGACTTTACCTGGCACCGGCTCGCCAGCTCTTCTGTCCGCATGCCAGGAAGTGACTTGTCAGGGGGCTTTCGAAAATAGGGGATCACCTCTTTTGGGGTCTTGGAAGAAAATCAAAAGGAAGCCCGCCATTTTTAGGCGTTTTAGGGCTCTCCTAAATTTGGATACATTCATTTGTTGCTCTAGTGACCATGCCTTGGGTTGAGTGCGCTCAACAAGTGCGTTGACTTGACAGTGAAGGGGCCAGGCATCGGGCCCCACCGTCCCACCCCCCTTCTCCGCCTGTTGAACTTCTTACATCGTATATGTTCTTATCCCGAAACTGCCCATACGTTGCCATTGCCCCGAAAGGAAGCCAAAAGGGAATGAGCAAGTGCTGCATTTTCTGAGCCAATTTCCCCGTCGGAATGCTGCCAGGCTTGGAGCTTGCACAAACCTCGCCTGCGTATGCGCTTCGGCGCCTTGCCTTCACAGCTCTTCGGGTTGCTCAGTGGTTCAAAGCCGACCTTTGAACCTTTTGGTTTTCCCTTTTTGGTCTACTTTTAGTAGAGGTCCCAAAGATGAACCTATGAATTTCAGGTCCTTTGGGGCAACTGAGGTTGAGGCCCGGCAACTTATGCAGGTGAAGGGGGCGGTTGGCGGCCTTGAAATGGCCCTGGATTCCTGGACTTGGATTGTAGGGTCGCGTGGCCTCAATCAGCATCCTGGGCGAACATGGAAACGTGCCCCCACAGAATCCCGCGCAGGTTTGCAAGAAGAAAATCCCCACCAACTTCTCATTCATCCATGCGTCATTGTGCATTCCCGAAAGTGCAGCTTCTGGCTTCTGGTGCAGCCAGGCTGATGCGAAACACCTCTCGCAAAGGCGATGTTTCACAATTTTCCACCAACAGCAACGCATGCTCGCCAGGGTCCGGAGATTCTTAGGCCCACTGTGCCAACGCACGCCAACAGTTCTATTTGCGGATTTTGGGTTTTGGCTCTTAATGAGTTTCTTATCTTGCATAAACGACGCACCATTCCGCAATTCCCAAATTGCCACCAGTTCTCCAACGCGAAGATGCCACTTCTTCTTTAGGTGGTTTTGGGTAATGCGGTTTTGGGTATCTTTTGGGTCGTGGCATCTCAAAAGGTGGATACCTTTCATGTCCATGCCTTGAGTGAAGGTCTGCCACTAAGGAGTTCCAGGTCTCGGCGGCTTCGGCGGCTTGCACATTACCGTGGGAGGGGAAGGGGGGGAACCTTGACGCCTTTGTGTTGGAAACCACGTGTCATGGCCCAACAGTGGGCATTTCATTCTAGCTGGCCGGCAAAGTTGAGTTTGCGCGGGAGCAGCGTCTCAATGGCGACACGAGCGATGAAATGTTCGTTCGTTCGTTGAGCCTTCAGCACCATTAAGGCGCCTGGCTAACGCCATCAGTGCGCATGCGGGATCGGTCGTCCGTTTCAAGTGAGATCACAGTCCTCCGAAAATGGGCTTTTAGGGGAATGGGTAGGGGAGTGGTCCGGGGCAGAAATTCAAATCCGAAACATTAACCGCGGCCTGGTACGCCGGGGGGTGGCTGAACTGTTTGCGGAGAGCCGCACTGCGCCAGAGGACGCTGTTTTGTGCCAGAGGGCACTAGGTCGGTCGGAAACACCGTACCGCCTTGCGCCAAAGGACGCCGTCAGTGTATGGTGTGTCAGTGGAGTTGTTGTTGTTGTGAGTCTCTTGTTTCGCGGAGAGCCGCGGTGCGCCAGAGGACGCTATCAAGAGTTCCCTTTGTTGCCGCCCTATTACCTTACACCTGGGCTGAGCGGAGAGCCGCCGTGCGCCTGAGGACGCCGCCCTACGCCTGTGATAACACAGGACCCAGCAAACCAAGGGTTGGTCGTGATCGTGGAAGACCTATCGAGCGATCACCTTTCCCAGTGGGCAGTAATTGCAGAAAACGGCTCAGCCTTCACGACTGCCTTTCCCTGCTTTTTTCTGTTCGAGTTACGCATTCTGTCGCTTCATGCGGCTCTCGTGTTTGCTTCGATCGTGCGCGTTTGCAAACACGATGTTGCAGCACAAGCACGTTCGCTGCGCATCGCCAGGTCCTCTGCATTGGCTTTCGTGAGACTGTCGTTGTGTGATAGACGGCCACTTTTTGTTGCATTTCCGGCATGTGAGGTTCTGTTCTTCACTTCCTCGGCATCCGCGTTTGTGTCGCTCGACCGCCTGGTCGAGTCGTTTCTTGGTTTGCCCCTGTTGCACTTGCTGCCACCCGCACTCGCACTGCCAGTATAGGCCAGCGCCGTCTCGTGTAGGGGCGCGTTGGAGGCACGCGCCTTCGTGGCGCGTCCGTTTGGCCATGGTCGGACAGAGCGCATCGCAGAACGTGCATCGCAGGTTAAGCTCCGCATCGCCTCTACAGCGAGCCTCGTGGTATAGACGGTTGACTCGTGTGCCCACTTCGGTGTTGCATTTGCGACACTTGTGCGGCGGCAGCTCTTTCAAAGGCACCTGACTGCACTCTCGTTCATGTCCCGCACACACATCTGCGTGGCGGAACACTTTGCCACACTGTCGGCAGACTTCCGCTGTTTCCTTGGTCAATTCGCCGCTGTGCGGCTCGGTCCATCTCTTACTCTGGCATCCCACCTGGCCCCGCGCCCCCTGACCTGCAAGTCGGTCTGCGTTTTCGTTGCCTGGGTGCGCTGCATGTCCCTTTACCCAAGTCCACCGGATGTCCCTCGTGTTTGACACCTTCTTGACCAGTTGCTGGACGGATTTGGCTAGCGCTTGATTGGTTCGCGGCTCGGTACGCCCTCTGGGAGTCGTAGTAGATATGCAAGGCCGTATCTCCCGGTCCCGGCGCCTCCGTGTCGATCCAGACGAGCGCCTCGGCTATAGCCGTGAGTTCAGCCGTGTTATTGGTCGCCTTGTCCGCCCCCAGATAGCGCTGGTCCGTAGCGTCAGTCAGTACTGGTCCATGCAGTTCAGCAATCGCGCACACTCCGTCGGGCAACGCGTACACGGCTACTCCCCATCCGGCGCCTTCGCTGTCTGCTGCGCCTCCGGAGCCGTCCGTGAACACGTGCCAAGTAGGCGGCGGTTCAGGGATGTCTGGCGCGATGTGCTGTAGCCGGTCTTGAACCATTGCGGGTCCCCTGCACTGATGTCGCGTCTTGGCGTAGGCGTTCGGGAAGCGGCCCTTGCACTCTTTGCAGACGTGTTCTTGCATGGTGGTCTTTGTGGGGTCGAACACTGCGTGTTGACTGTCATAATGGCTCCGAAGGTGACGGACGTCGACCGCTTGGTGATTACACACTGGGCATTCCCCTCGCGCCAGTTGACTGGATCGCTTTGTCCACACCGTTCTGCGCAACCTGAGTCTCGGCGGCGTCGGTAGGGGGGGCGGTCGTCCAGGTCGCCAAGCGTTGATGGCTCTCTTTTGATGTGGCTTTAGAACTGGCCGCGGAAGTCCGCGCTTGATATGCGCGTCCCACGTCGGTCTCTCCTGTGCCAGTCGGAACCAGTCGAGCTCCGGTATGTCAGCCAGTTTCAGCACCGTCTGTAACCACTTCTGCTGTCGCGTGGGTCCGAACTGACCCGGCTCTGCGTCCTGCCAATGCCCCCACATGGCGATCTTAGGTAGTCTGTGCGTCGGCATTCGTGCTACATGGCCCATCCATCGCAAGGTTTGTCTGGCCAACACCTTCTCGATGGGTTCCCATTGCGCCATGGCGTGTAGGTCCTGATTCCGCACATGATACTCATGCATGGCCATACGGTCCAGTCCCAACGCCCTTTGGATCGCGTAATTTTGTCTGGTTTGCAAGTGCTCAACTTGGGCCCGGGTCCAGGCCCGAGACCTGCCAAAAGCAGTGAGGGTCGGCACGATGATGCTGTGCATCACCTTGAGTCTGGTTGCGAACCGTATCCCGCTGGTAGCGCCCCTGCCCTTGGAGCTTCCGAGGCTCCACGCCTTGGCGACTGCTCTGGCCCGTTGCATGGCCATGCTACCCCGATGAATGGTATCCTTCCATTGCGTAGCAGTGGCTGACAGGTAGCCTCCTACGTGCCGGACTGTGTCGGGCAAGTCCGCATCGCGTCCTCGTTTTTCTGGGCGTGCGGCTGGGACGATGCGCAAGGTTTCCGTTTTGTTGCGGTTCAGCTTTTCGCCCCAGTCCGTGAAGGTCGTTTCCAGCATGCTGTCCGCCGCGACCGCCTCGCTTTCCTGGGCGAACGTCGCCGTGTCATCTGCAAACTGGATGTCGCCCAAGATATCCTGTCGGATCTGACGGTTGCTGTTTAGACAAGCCTGTCGCTTGGTAAATTGTCCTGTGATCTTGGTCTTCCACTGTATCCCAGGTTGCGCGCCTGTTTCCTCGGCGGCTCTGCTGCGACGGGTCCTGTAATCCGCCATCACTGCCGCGTGATACACGTTGAAAAGAGGAGGGCTGCTCGGGCAGCCCTCCTTTAATCCCCGTCCCGCAGTATACCCATCTGATAGGACAGCGCCGCTCTGCACGCGAAACGACGTGTAGTCGTGTAGGGCCTGACACACGCGGATAAAGCCTGTTCCAGCTCCCCATTTGTCGAGCAATGTCCAGAGTGCCAGTCGGTTCACTCGGGGGTATGCCTTTTCTATATCGTAGAGTGTTACGATTACCGGCTCGGTCGGGCCAGATGACACCACCTCCTCAGTGATGCGTCTGGAAACTTGCAGAACGTCATCAACGCCGCGATTGCGCCGAAATCCTTGTTGACGCTCGTCCATGAACTCTTCCGTGTGTGTCTGAAGCCGGTTGGCGACGATGCGCGCCACCACTTTTGCCCCCACGCTGAGGAGCGTAACTCCCCTCCAGTTGTTCTTGTCTGATCGAGGTTGCTTCTGTTTCCATAGTGGCACGATAATGGCCGTCTTCCATGCCTCTGGCCAGTCGTGAGCCTCTTGTCCGAGTTGCGTGCTGGTCGCGTCCATCCACATTGTTTGTATGATAGTACATAGCTGATGGTGCATTTCATCTGGCGCCCATCGTAGTGCCTCCACCGTAACGCCATCAATGCCCGGGGCCTTGCCGAGCTTCATTGTTTTTATGGCTTTTTGGATTTCCGCTTGGTTCGGCTTTTCGTCCATCCATGTGGCTCGGTCCGCTCGCTCGACGACGTTGGCCCAGATACGGTCGTGTACCGGTTGTGTGCCGTCCTGTATGCGGCGAAAGTGCTCCTTCCACGCCTGGGCTTCCATAACCGGGTTGTCCGGCTGCGGTGCGCCGCCGTGCTGGCCTCGAGTCACCGCCCTCCCCCGCAATTGTCTAATCAGGTCGTAAAGTGCCCGGCTGTCGTTTCTAGCCGCTGCAGTCTCGGCCTGATTGCTCAACTGATTCCACCATGTGTCCTCCCACTCTCTTAGTTGGCGTCGTTTGCGTCGCGTGGCCGCCTGAACCAGTCTCCAGGCCTGCGCGCAAAAGTCCGCGGCTTCCTCATCTTCCTCCTGCCTGTAGGCCCATTCCTCAGCTTTGTCTCTGGCCGCTTTGGCCGCGGCCACCGCGAAACTGAGCCGGCGTAGTTCCGCCTCTTTACCGTCTAGCCATGGCCGTGGGGGTTTGGGCTCGACCGGGCCAAACACCTTTCGGGCGGCCGCTGTGGTGACGTTTATGATGTCGTTCCAGTGCATGGGGCTGGTCCTGTCTGTGAGCTGCGCTCTGATTTCTTCTGCGTACTGCGCACGTAGTCTTTTGGCGGCTGGTTCATCACCTCTTCCGGCTACCCATGCCCAGCGCTTTGCGCGTTGCGCGGGGGCAGTCATCCCCTGTGGCGGCGCAATTTTGAAGCTGATCTCGACGGGATTGTGGTCAGTATATTCCCCCCATCCGGTCAACCCGCCGGTCCAGGCTACTTCTTCGTGCAGTGTGAGCACCCTCTTCACGTTGTTGAGTTGCGGTCTTTCCACCAGAATGTAATCGATCAGGTGTCCGCTTTTCCATCGTGGGTGCCTCCACGTAGTCTTGTTCTTCTGGCTTGTCCATGTGTTTGTCACCACCAGGTTTTCTGCCTGACAGCTGTCCAACATCATGCGTCCTTTTTCATTGCATCTGCCGTGTCCGTGTGGTCCCAACGCCTGTTCCTCTCCATTTGTGCGGCTTCCGACCTCCCCGTTGAAATCTCCGCCAATGAGAGTGTGGAAACCTCCTGGCCTGCGTTCCCGGACCCTCCCGAGTTTGTCATAGACTGCCGCTACGGTTTCCCGGTTTGCCTCGCTACTCGGTACATAGACTGATATCAGTGATACCCCCCGTTTGTTGGTGCACGGGATTTGTACACTGATTACTCGACACGTCCCTTCCATTCCGTCTGTATGAACTACGCAGCCTCCGCGTTCCCATGCCATTGTGAGCTTTGTTCCCAGTGCTATTGCCACTTTTCCCCTGTGTATGATCGTCCATGTTTCCTTCTTTGTGCTAAACGTCATTCGTCCCCTTTCACCCAGCGTTACATCTTGTAGTAGCGCTGCGTCCCATTTTCGCAACTGCCAGACCTCTGCCATGTGCCGAAGTTTGGTCGCGACGTCCACCCGCCCGTGCACAGCGCCCAGTCGGCGAGTGTTCCATGTGCCGATCCGTATGTCATGGTGAGTTCGTCTTGTCTGTCTTTGCCGCTTTAAGAACTTTCCCCATTGCACTCGTCTATGTTTGCGTAATTTGTCGGCTTTCCGGAGTACCGCGTTTCTGCTTTGCCCATGTGTGCTACCCGTCAGTAGTTGTGCTGCGAGGGTGGCCCAGTATGTGGCCGCTTTTCGGCGGCGTTTTCTACCGGCTCGGCCTGCCATTTGTGCTTGAGCTTCTACACGGCAGCCGATGTGCGCATGATGGTGTTCTATGGGGCGGAGTTCATTGTTGTCTATCACGTGAGTTGATTCGGCTATGTCTGCTCAATTCCTGCCATCGGCATTCTCCTCAATTAGTTCGGAGAGTCGGAGCCCACCCGCCTCTACCCGGAGTAGGGCTGAAGCCCGGAGAGGAAGTGGTACGGCCGTCGAGTCCTCAAGAGGCCATCTTCCCAAGTCCAGGTTCAACCGGTATCTACCCCGTTGCTCCTCGTCGGTCGGTCTACACCAACCACCTCTATTAAGAGGAGGGACGTTTGCCTCACCCTATGTATTTCCTGATTGTGTCAGTCTTTTCCTGATGTTTGTGACTTTTCCGCGTGCGATGTTCCTTGGTTCGATTCCATCCTCATCTCTGTTGCTAATTGTCTGCATGTCCTCCCCTTGTGACCCGGATCCGATGATTACCTCGCATGTGGGGTGAGTTTCCAGGGCGCACCACGCGGAGGTTTGGAGCACGCGCGACCATCGGTTGGCGGCCGATGGTCCACTGATGGCACAATGAGAGGGAGTATCAATGCGCCAGCTGGCTGCTTCATTTCATCTCCTCATGAGTTCAGTAAGAAAGGAAAAGACAAAACAAGGAAACAACACAGAAAAAAAGGAAACCCACACGCACGCCAAGCAACCCGCGGCAAGCGTCCAAGGGGCCCGACGAGAAAAGAAAGGAAAAAAAAAAGCGTTCTTTTCAGTCATTCTTCCAATGTGTCTCGCGCGTGCTGCGATGAAATGTTGCCTTCTGGCCGGCAAGTGGAACTACCTTCTGGCTGGAACCTCTCCAAGCTCCGGTTGGACGTAATCCGGATGGGGGCCCTTGTTCTATCTTGGATGCTGCATGAACACATGCAGTTTTTCATTGCTAGGCCATACGTTCTTTCTGTGGCGTGTCCTCGGTAATGTGTTGTCGCGACATGGTTGCCTGTGACAGTTGAATGGGGAACAGGGGTGCTTGAGCATATTCCTTTGCACTTAGTTAGTTGGTTGTCTTCTTGTTTGCAGCTGTAGGGCGTGGAGAAACTGACGTCCTACATCGAAGTGCGACAAGTGTTTTTCAAGATCGGGAGCCAACAACGGCAAGTGCTTTACAGCCGGCTGCCTGTTTTAACCCGTGGTTTCTTGGCCACTTAGTTTCGAGGTAGGCGCAGCCAGCAGAATGCTCAGAATACTTGGCCTCTGTAGCCCAGGATGAGAGGCCCATGGCAGACGACGTTGCTCCTTGGATCAATTTACGATGGCCCCATGGGCTTGAAAGGATGTCAAAACATGGGTGTTTCTTTTGGTCAGTTTTGGTTGAACATATTGTCTTCCACTGGTTTCTGATTGGTTCGAATCATTTACCAGTGCCATCTAGCTATATTGTAAAGTTGGCAACGGCACCTCGACAAAATTCTCAAGACATAAACCCATGCAGATGTAAATGTCCATGGTTATGTGTGTTTCAACTTTTCGCAATACTGGACGCATTCAATGTACACCCTCCCTCAAAATTGGAACCTAGAACAACGCCTCCGTTAGGTGCTGCAGGCAAGCGACGCCACCGGCCTCCTGTGCAACTCGGCAACAAAGTCCGAGCCCAGAAGCCATTCTGGATGCAAAGATGCACCCCCGCCCCATCAGAATGCATCACAGAACACTTCTAAGAACCACTGTTCTTTTCCCAAACGAGCAAAAACACATGGCGGTGTGGCCACACATGTCTTGGGCAATGTGCCCCAGAAACTTTAGCTTTAGAGCCTCCGGCTCAGTCCGCCGACATTGGCATCTAGCTTGTCTCCTTCTTCCTCTCGCCCGTGTCCCCCTAGTATGCTCTTCTGTCCTCTCTGGTTCCCCCATCCTCCCCGCCGAACCATGCCTCCAAGTAAAATGTTGGGAAAGGGTGGCGACCAAACAGGGCGTACAATTGCGAACAGGAAGGCTCGCCGTTTAGGGCACCTTAGTGTTGGGTGGTATGTCATGGCCACTGCATGTCAGTTTGGAAGTATCCGACACGAAGGACATTGGGGGCGACACTTGGAAGGAAGCTGGGGTTGGGGAATTTGCCAGGACATTTGGGGGAAACTGGGGGGAAAATTGGGGGGAAGTCGGATGGAAATTGAAAGGAAAGTGGGAGGGAATTGGTGAGAAAGTAAGGCGCAATTTGCGGGGAAGCATTGAGGGAAATTAGGGGAAATTGGGGGGAAATTGGTGCCAATTGCCAAGGAAATCGGAAAACACAATGTTTTTTTTTCAATGGTGTCAGCAAAGGAAAAACACCGAACACCGTGTGTCTCAAAGTTTTCCGCAAAAGGCAGCACAAAACCTCAGCCGGCAGAAAGAGGCGGCGGGAGGATTCGAGCCTGGGACCCCCGTTCCTGCACACCCGCTCCCCGAAGACTACGTTTAGTGGAACGTCATCAAATTGCCGCGCGGTACGCGGGGGAGGGGGGGGGGGGGTGGCGACCGAAATTTGACGTGTCCCGGGGGGGGACTAAGGGGGGGGTTATCCTCTATCCTCTCTTAGGTATCCAATAGTCCTCTCTTAGGTATCCGACACGCCGAACAATGTCGGCGGACTCCAAACAGTGCTTGGAGCCTTCTTCTCTCCAGCAGAATTCCCATGTCTGGAGTGTCAGGATCATTGCATGCTCGGATCGAAGCCAAAGCTTCTCACCCGCCTATTCAGTGCCCTTACCGCCCCTGACCTCAGCAGCGAAGCTTTCAAGTAGAGCATGTGGGGAGATTTCTGACCAACCTCTTTTTACTTGTAAGCCAGGATGCATATGCCCTTGGTGCCAGGTGTTTCATTTTGGAAGGATCCTTCATTATCCTTCACTTGGGGCTATGTGTCCATTTTGTTTGGGTGCTTCAAGGGCGTTGTCGACCGGGTCGGTTGAGTCTTGCGGCCGGCCGCTAGTACTAGAGGCAATGCCAACGAGCCTCACTCTCCGTCGGCCCTGGCAGCGTGGAAGCAGGTTCGCGAATTCAAGGCGGCGCCGGCAGGGGAGGGGCTGGGGGGCTTTCTTGTTTGGAGGGGTTTGCGATTCTGGCGGCTGCTCATGCTGCGTAGAGAGCCTTCTGGGTCAAGTGGCGAATGTTTCAATTTGCGTGGCTTGTCTCGGATGGTTTGCTTGAGCTATTCCAGTGCCTTGGCTGGAATTACGCGTAAGCATGAACGCCAGTTCCACTCCTGAAGCACTCCCTGCACGGGCAATGGCTTCTGTTTGAGCATCGGTTTGTCCAGCCCAAACGTAAGCTGATGCAATAGCCACTGCCCTAGCTACATGTCTAATTCCCCCTACCCCCGTGCAAGGCTTCCTTGAACGCAGTCACTACAGGGGGCAGCTGCTGGCAAAGTCAAATGATAACAATTGAAGCCTGGCAAGTTCGAGTTGTTTCCAATCAGCAGCAAATGTGTGAAAGCAATCAGTGAACCCTTGCAGTTAAGCGGCCTTTCCTGAATGGGTGAGCAGCGGCAAACGAGGGGCCATCCGCATTTGATGATGTCAACGGGTTGATAGCGACCCCTCGCTACGTCATTCGAACTCCAAGTGCGGCTGCGTTCAGATCGTCGTCCCAAAGCACGGCCGAAAACTCGGGGTACGCTACGACGACTCCGACGGCAAAACTCTGGTCATTAAGTGCCTGGAACCGGGTGGCTTCTACGAGCCTTGGCAGACCGTGCCTGAATTTGGCATGCCTTCTGCAAGCGCGCCCTGATCCAAGGAAGTTTGGCGGTGTTTTCACTTGCAACATGTTTTTGCACGGGAGCAGGCAAGAATCACTTTGGCTTGAAGGCGGAGTTGTAGCATGATTTGAACAGTCAACTGTTTATCCTGCCCTGGTTTGCTGACATGGGTTTTAGGGCATCAATCACAGTTGTGGTCACTCAAGCTATTTGATGGCACTCGGAATGTGGATACTTAACTTCTCAGAAGTTGTTGTCATTGCTTACCTCACTGAAGTAGGGCTTTCCAAAACCATCTAGACAAAACCCAGCTTGTTGCTTTTGCATTGGCATTCACATTTTGTGTTCTGGGCGGGTTGCGTTGGGTTCGAATCGGGGAAGCTGTAGCACACATGTTGAGATATCAGCCTTTTACAAGCATACGTAACGTGTTTTTTTACCTTGCAGCGCGGGGAAGCTTCGCAAAACCTTTTGAAGTAGTGCTCCTGGCCATCATGCTTTGCAGTGTAGAGATTGGCAGAAAGTGCCGACTTTTCCGCGGAAGCCCGCGTTCAGGCCCGCGGGGCAGAAACCCTGTTGAGTGACACCCCCTTGCACTTTGGAGGAAGGTGTTGGGTGGCCCTCCAAGCAGCTCGAGGCACCCTTGTTGGATCTTTTTGGGGTTGTTTGAAAGGGAAGGCTTTGTCGGACTCCCCCTTTTGCCTCGTACTAGTCTTGATTAGTTGTAGTGTTGCATTGTAGTACCGGTAGTACTTGGGTCTTTAGCTGCGGGCTGAATGCCAGTCCCGCAATTCTGGGAGCTGAGAACACATTTGTGCCAACGCGTTTTTCAAGAAACCAAGAAGAGCAAGTGTACAGCCCCACAACCTTTCGCTTGGCTCGCTTCGAGCAAGTGGCAGCAGTCACTAGGGAGTGATGGGAATGACCAACACTCACAGTTTGTTTAGCCAGTAGGATTGTTGTTTTTTTCTTTCTTTTTACAGATCTGCTGCTAGTGTTCATTTCTTTAGACAGTTTTTTGGATTTAGTTGGAAATTAGGATGGAATAAGATAGTCTTTCCTCAATGCGACGGAGAGGTCCTACAGTAGCGTCTGGTGATGCTTGCTGCCTTGCTGAACGCCTTGATCCATCCAAATTTGGTACCGATTAAGAGGTACTACACACGCCCCGTGTCTGTAAGTTCTGGCACCTGTCCCCAGCATGACTGGGTTGAGCAGCAGGACATCCCAGGAGTTTTGGCTTAACGCTGTTGGTTCCGCTGGTAGGATTTTGGAGTTTACATGCTTGTAGGGCTCAGCCCAGGTTGGTTTGTGAAAACAAGGGTTGTAGGGCTTTATGTTGATGGTTGGCTCGCAGGTCCGGAATTCGGGGAGGTTTGAGTGCCGTGTCGGCCCAGGGTGCGGGTTTCGCAAAAGGCTTGACAAACGATGTGGTTTGTTGGTTGTTTATGTTTGATTGGGTCTTGTGTACGTGTCTCGTTTGGGGGAAAGCGATGGTTGAACCAGTGGCTACTTGGCTTCCAAGCTGATGCCAATGCAAAGCCCAGGAGACCGTCATGAAGCATCCTTCGGAGAAATGGGTGCCTTGGACCACCGCTCGCAATCGCGATCCGTTCGGCCTAGCCATGCCAACGAAAGGCCGCTTCCAAGAAAGGGGTCAACGAGGTCTTTGGGAGGCCTCCTTCTGGATTCAACTGAAGCAAAAGCAGGTTTCTGGCTGGGGCGCGGGTCGATTGATTGATTAGATCACTTGAGTTGGTGGAGCTTCTCATAGGAAGGATTACCTCGCCCATACTTCAACATATGTTTATGTGAGATGCCGCCCCTTTCTGACAAGGACGACGCAACTTGTAAACTCACGGAAAGCATCCTCTCACTTAGTGCAAAAAGCAAGCCTCTCCCATGGCTCCATGGCTCACATGCCAGGCGATGATTGAGGATCGCATCGTGGACACCTGGCTCTCAGAAGTGGGTTGGCGCGTTTTGAGGCTGCCCCCTTTTTGGGCCGGGTCAAACGGAACCGACCGATTGGGTAGTTGTTCTCTTTTTTTTGTTTTTTAAATTGGGGGTCCCTGTTTTGGCACAAATGCAGGGATTCCGCTTGCCCCACGAGTTTGCTCAGGTCAACTAGATTCTCGATGGTCTCCACCCTTCAATGAAATCCGGATCGTGTTCAGAATGCAGACCTCTGAAGGGCCGGCATGGTGCGAGGGGTGGTCATTGCTTGGCCCAGTCATTGCGAGGCACCTTTCCTTTCCCATTGCTCCGCGGCGTTCTGCGCGTGACCACAGAAAAGAGAGGGACGCCCCTCCATACCCATGGCAACTAAGCGAAGATGATTTGGCGAGGACGTTTTAGAAGGGAGGCAACAGGAAGTTCCGCAAGTCGGGCAGAGACATTATGAAAGCTCAGAGGGGGTTTCGAACAGAACCAAGGTCACCTCTTCAAATACGGGCCTCTCCTTTGTGAAGAATTTGATCGGTCAGTTTGGGGTTTTACATCCGTTGCATCCGCAGTGTGGCTGTTCAAGCGTGAAAATGTGCGAGCAGCGCACTTGGACGGTTTGTTGTTTCCTTTTGGGCCCCAATCCGGTAACCCTTGAATCTATAGGTTATCAGCCGTAGGCCCCTAGCTCTAAGCAATGGACGGTTCCCTTGTGCCAGTTGATGGATCCAGCATGCCTGTGGATGCTGCCGGAGCTAGCTCCGGCAACGCCACCGGCGGCGGTGTGCGAATGTTCGCATCAAGCGCTAATGCGCAATACAACCGCACCCTGATGAATTCCCTTCAACTGTACAATACCGCAATCTTTGCTTTTGGGAATGATGCAGCCATTAGGTCTGAAGCCGAAGCCCTGCATCAAGCAGCTGTAACGCATTTGCAAGCGGAAAACCGTGAGGAGCTCCGTGCCGCACAGAATCAGCTGCATGCACACTACGCTGAATGTGTGCAAGCCCAGTCGCATAGGATTCGTGAATACGAACAGCGAGTGAGCGATGAGTTCATGCAAGAAGTGAACTTCGCTGAAGCTAGGATAAGCCAAGTGTGTGAGGAAAATGCCCAAGCATTGCATGAAGCGGAAATGGGACGCAAAACAACTGAGTTTAGGCAAGCCATCGAATCCACCCTGGCTGAAGCCCAGCAGCTCCTCCATGAGCAAGCTGCCAAGCATGCCGATGACACAGCCCGTGTCGAGGCTACACACGCCAGAACGGTTGACATGATGGCACACCAAAACGGGCTTCTGCAGGACGAGCTTGATGAGCTGAAGAAGTATCAGAAGCAACACGACCTCCGCGAGGATGGATCGAAGCCCAAAGGGGTAGGTGATACCCGAGAGGATTCACCAGAGTTGATGACCGACGACATGAAGTCAGCTCGGTCCCAAAGGTCAATGTTGGACCCGTTGACCCATCCGTTTCAATATGCAAAGGAAAAGTTGAGGTCGCTTGTTACCTATGACGGTTACGGGGATGAATATACCCCTAGCGTGATTCCAACTGCCGAATGCGAAGCACTGCCCGCAGATGCTCGCGATCCGCAAGGACCAGCTGAAAAGCCATCAGGTAGCAGCCGATCCCCGGTGAAAACAAGTGCACCGGTCCCACCCCTGCAATTCTCTCAGGGGCCAATGTCAACTGACCGCAAGCAGGGTGGTAAGCCTCCCGGCGGTCCGCCACCTGATGATGATGGCGATGGCGATGGTGATGAAGACGAAGGTGATGGCCTTGGGCCTAACCTCGGCCAAGAAGCATTCGCCAAAATGTTGATGAAGTTAGTAAAAGGCCACACGAACGATGAAAAGCCCAGAACCCGCGAAAGCGAGACGTTGCGATTCAAGGAGATGCCAACTCCTGAAACGTACCGTGAATGGAAAACATCGGTTCGTGAGGATGTCCGCGCTGCATCTGACCGTCCAGACGAGGCTTGGCCTTGGATCATGGAAGTCTGGTCTGATCGCGAGGACAAGAAGAAGCTGTTGGAGGAGCTCGGCGAACCGGGAAAATTCGTGACCCTAGACACGAAGATTCTCGCAGCGCTCACGCGTTCAGCGAAAGGCGATCTGGCTCAGCGAATCCTAACAGCAAAGGAAGAATGTGCCAAGGAGGGAAAGGCCATGAGAGGAAGGCAGGTCTTGTTTATGTTTGACCAATATTTCAAGACCAGTGAAGAAGCCGGAAACCTCTACTCCTTGGAGGACCTGTTGCGTGTCTCGCGACACGGCGAAGGAATCATCGATCTCAAGCGTTTCCTAAATGCTTGGGATTCCGTGATCGCCGGCATGAAAAAGCCGCCGGAAGAAAAGGTGTTGAAAGACATCTTGCTTCGCCAAGTGAGAAGCTGCCATTTGTTGCGGTACGACATCGACACATATGATCGTTGCCGTGATGATGATCCCAATAAATCGTACGATTTCCTAATGCGCTGCATGAGGGATCTAATCGAGAGGGATAGGCTTCGCGAGAACCGAGAGCGCGTGTCCAAGGTCAATGCCAGTAAAGCCCCGACGCCCAAGGCTGGTGCTGCCGCTCCTGAAAAGAGGGACCCCAAGAAAAAGAGCGCACCTAAGCCGAAGGACACCGAGGAGAAGTACTGTTTTGACTTCCAGAAGGGCTCGTGCACGAGGGGGGCAAACTGCCCTTACGCGCACCGCAAGGAGCCGCGAGGACGCTCCGCGACCCGCGGCAGGCCAAGTTCCCCCAAAGGCGGTAAAGGAGAGAAAGCACCGTGTTCTTTCTTTGCCCAAGGGAAGTGCACGAGAGGTGACAAATGCAAGTTTAGCCATGCCTCCACGGGCGGCAAATCTGCCGCCGCGGCATCGAGCAGCGAGGCCAATGCAAATCCTGCGGCTAAGAAGCGTGCAAATTCACCTAAGCCTAAGCCCAAGGCCAAAGCCGCTGCAGTCTGCACCAGGTACGCCATGTTCGCAAAGCCGATCGATCCAATCGGAGTGTCATTCGACACCAATGCTCATGTGCATGAGATCCCCGCCGAAGGCGATGGTTTTAAGCTTGAGTATGAGGAACGGCAGTACAATAGGATGTTTCCAAGTGCCAAGGACTGCCCCAGGCCGACCAAAGGGACTAACAAGGCAGCGCGCAAGGCCGCGAACCAGTTGAATGCCGTAGTCAAAGCCATGGAGAATGGAGCCCAGCCCGCTTGTGGTTTCATGTGCGATGTGGAATCCGATTCCATCTCAAGCCTATCGTGTGATGAGTGCCTGAGAGTTGCCATGCCGCCTCACGATGTTCGCAAGGATGTCGAAGCGCCAAGGGCAGCCACCCCTGCCCCAAAGGGAAAGGATGTGTGGCTCATTGATTCCGGTAGTGAGCAGGACCTCATCAGCAAGGCTGCACTGAGGAATGCGTCCAAGGCAATCCGAAAACAGGCCCCGCAGCCTATTCGCCTTGTGACTGCAAACGGAAACATCACTGCTTCCGAGATCGCCGACATCAATGTCGATGCATTGTGCGAGCCTGCTCAGCCTTACATCCTCGAGAGTTCTCCCGCAGTGCTGTCGCTGGGTGTGAAGTGTCTGGATCAAGGATATTCCTTTCATTGGGAATCCGGGAAGGCACCAACCATGGTTCGCCCTGACGGTGCTCTGATCCAGCTCAAGGTTGACGGTCATGTGCCATACATGGACTCTAGTTGTGAAGCTGAGCCATCGTTGAGTGCAGTAGCAGCATCAAAGCCAGCGCCTGCGCCAGTTCATGACGAAGGCATCGACGAAGGTGATGATCCCGACGACGAAGTTGAGCGGTTTGTGAGATCCCGCAAAGAGCAAGATCTGGTTGCCGAAGCAGGTACCAAAGAGCACTTGTTTGCACACTATCCGAAGAATCCCTTTTGCCGCACTTGCCAACGTGCCAAGATGCTTGCCCCATATGCAAGATCGAAAGGCGGGCAGGGAAGGCTCGAGACGAAAGCGTTTGGAGATCACATCATTGCTGATCATGTGATTCTCAAGGCCAACATCGAGCAAGGCATAAAAGGTGAATGGTGTGCTCTTGTGATCAAGGACGTGCATACGCAGTTCAGGTACGTTTACCCGTCGACCAGCAAAAGCACGGAGCAATCCGTTGCAGGGATCCAGCATTTCATTTCCGGTAGGGATGAGGTTGAGGTTCTCTACACTGATAACTCCCGGGAATTGAAAGCCGCAATAGAGCAGTTGGGGTACCGTCATCAGACCTCCATTGAATATGTTGATTCTTCCAAATCTTTCGTGGAAAGGGAAATCAGACATCTGTTGGAGGGAGCACGTGCGAACCTTGTTCAGTCAGGGTTCCCACTGTCGATGTGGCCATTTGCCATCCAGCACAATGCAGTTGCGACCAACATCCTGCCACAGTTGAATGGAAACGATTCGCCATGGTACCTCAGGTTTAACAAGACCTTTGATGAAGCTGAGATACCTTTCGGAGCAAAGATACTGTTCTGGAACAACCCTGCACGAGCTGACAATCAGGCAGGCAAGACTTCGCCAACATCGAATGAAGGCGTGTTTCTCGGGTACCATATTCAGCCTGGGTTCGCATGGAAGGGTGAGTTCCTCGTTGCAAAACTAGAAGGGCTCGATTACCATATCGAACATGCGTCCCTCACGGTACAGCGAACTAAGCGCATTGAGCTTCCGACCGATGAGTTCATCTTCCCGATGAGGTTGTTGAAAGACCCTGCATCTCATCCACCTGTTGCCAGTGCTAGGACACGAGATGATCCTGTGCCGTTGGAACGTGGGCAAGCCCACATCGAGGAACCCGCCGCATCGGAGAAATCCGAAGCGAAGACCAAGCCTGTCGTGCCCGACAAAGGCGGTGCATTCGACCCGAGCATAATGCCTGATGGGTCACCAGTACCTGATGGCTATGTGTGGGATGGGGTTCGGCTCGTCCGTAGGAAGGCCGGATCCAAAAGGCCTCCCGATATCCCGTCTGACATGTGGG